CTGGTTTTGTTCATGAAATTTTCGTAATGTATGGTAATGTTTCTTATTTTTTTCTTGGTAATGTATGGTAATGTTTCTTGATTTGCCAAAAACATTCAGTTTTAAATGCTTTTTCAAATTAAAATTTTAATCTGCGATGAAAATTTGAATATAGCGCCGCTCTGTTCTTTGCTCAACATGGACTTTTCGTTCAGAATTCAGAAATATTTAATATTAAATTGAGCAAAAATATAAGAAAAAAACAAAACAAGAAAAACATTATTCTTGTAATGAAATTTTTGGAATTGTATGGTAATGTTCTGGTGATGTTTTCACATTTTTAGTACTGAACCCGGTCTTGAAAAGTTGGTAAGGTAATGGTATTGAAAATAATGTTCATGAAATACGCTCTATGAGAGAACTCTAGAAAATTTAATTGTATAATTTAGTTCCAAATTGTGTTCTCTCATCTAAGAAAATTGATTATATTTTATTAAAATAGTATTTGAAAATAAGATAATAAGCGTAGTAATTAAAATTCTCAAAACATATTTCCTAAATTTGATTGCTTTCCTTAGCTCTTTTAAAAATACACTTTTTGTATAAATTGTTAGACAGAAAGCAAGGCGAAGCGATTGAATAGACGGAATGATTTTGAAAAAGTATTTTAAATTCTCTTCAATCAAGAGTTTTTTTTTTTTTTTTCAAGTTGTATCTTGACGAAAGACTGAAGTTAACTTTAGCCAACAAAATTAAAAACGTTTAAAGGAATTTTTAACATTATGCTAGATAACTTACAAATAAAATAATTCTTTCCTGTTTAAAAAAAGTGTTTTAATAAATTCGTATCTTAACATTTTTAATTTTATTGATATAGATTTTTTTTTATATTATTTTAAACATTTCAGATTTAAATTTTTAAACAGTTATTTATTATTTTATTTGGGTTTTTGTTTTGGCATTGAATATTGGTTATTCTCTTATTTTTCAATAAATGTATTTATGCTTTCAAACTACTAACTAAAAGTTAATGCAATATAAGTAAACAAAAATTATTCTAAAATACCCCTGTTAAAAATATTATATGTGAAATATTTTCTTTTTTAATTAATTTGCAAAAACGAACAAAAAAACAAAACTAAAAACTAAACTTTCTACCAATATTTTCAGAAATTTTTATAGAGAATGCAAATGTACAGTCACTACATTATAGCACGAAATACAAGAGCGCTAATTTTTGCATTTGTTCATAATTGTATCGCACCCCAAAGGGCAATAAAACACTGCAGTACTGCACGATTTTCAAATTTTGCTGCATTCAAGCGACTCATTAATTAAAACGAGAGCAAACCGTTCGCTCGTTATGTGCCATTCTTTTCAGAGAGAACTCGTTCGTTTTCCGCGTTATTTATTATCCAGTGATTAATCCGCATGCGAATTCAAAAAAGCGAACGACCGCGAACGCCGGACAACAGGCGTTGTGATGAAATGAATTGTTCGCGCGCGCGGCTCCAGAGATACAAATGTGCCATAAATGCACACAATGGTTGGTGTTAGTTCGCGGCGGACAATAATTCAAATCCCGCAGCAGCTCGACGGAGCTGTGGTGGTTGATAATTAATTGATCACACACGACCACCAATACAGGCTTGACAAGTGAGATGTGCTTTCATTGTACATGGATGAAATAGAATTGTTTAAATAGTTAATCCGTAGCATTCAACCAGCAAGACCTGATAATTATGCAAAGTGGAAATAAAAGATAATAGGTAAGATATTATTTGGCACGAATATCCCCAAATTATATTTGCTAATTAAATTAGCAAAACTTAACTAAGCCAAAATTTGTTTGCAATTCATTTTGATAAACATAAGTTTTAAATTTAACCTCAGAGAATGCATAAAAAAGTTTTTTGTTAATTAAAATTATCATTTCTTTTATCCAAAAACTGGGTGAATAAAAAAATTTTAATTTCACATTTATCTTAAAATTTTCACTACCAAATCAAATTTGGGAAAGCACCAGATAATTATGAATGTTAAGTATAGGGTATTTATTATCAATCAGGGATTAACCTTAAACTCGCAAATAAAACTTCGTGCGATTATCTGATGGGTAAATACTAAATATATTGAAATTTACACACATATACTTCTAAAATAAAGTAAATTAATTTTAAAATTCTACAGTAATCTAAAATAATGATTAATTAATGATTCAGTTTTTGGCTCAGCATAAAATTTGAATTAATGCAAGCACATTTTAATTTGTACTAAAAAACATCATAATGATTGTCATGACGCAGTGCAACTTTTATCAAATATAATGTACTAATTATTCAAATCAAATTGAATCCACTACGGAAAGAGAATAATTGAAATGATCGAGAGCACGTGTCTGGTCGGCAATAAAATTAAAATGCGCACCGCGTCCTCCGCATTACTCGGCCCTTTGCGCGAACATGTTTCGCCCTTAATTACTACCAGCGATCGCCGTGCGTTTCGTTATTGCCTTCCGACGAGTCTCACTCGCCCTTTCTATTCTGCGGTTATTGCGGTCATTTTTCGCATTCGCTTTCAAATGCTCGTAAAAAGTGCAGCATTCAATTATTCTTTTTTGCATGCTGGGTGATGAAGTCTGGTCGCAGCAGGCGCCTGCGGGGGCGAAAGTCACCCCCTTCGTTCCATTCCAATTTATGGACGGTGCCCCTCCGAGTCGGGCTGTGTGTTGAATTTTATGGCAGGCGCGTTTTGACTGGAGGCCAGGCGGCGCCGCGGCAGACGAGGTTCGTGGCTCACTCTCGTCGAGATTTCGCGAAACAGGGACCATGCATATTGTTTTTGCTTAAAATGAATAGTTTCTGATTTAGAGAATGAACTGTAGTTAACTATTGTTTTCAATTTTTACAAGTGACCTCTAAGAAATTTCAATGTAATGCAATGTAGTGTTAGTAAAAAAGTAATTATACTTTTAAAATCAATTTTTAATTATTTTTATTAGAAAAAAATAGTGTAATAAAAAAATGTTTAATAAATTGCATTAAAACGTCAGCAAAAATTGTCAAAAATAATTCAATAATAAAATATTTTTAACTTCCAAATGTGTAAAAACAGCTGTAGCTAAATCTTTACATCATTTTTCTTTCAAAAATATTCTTGCAACTTGCTGAATAGTTGGCCACCGGCTTCACTGTGAAGTTGAGACGGTTGCATAAGTTCTACCTTCTGTACGCGACCTTTATAGAGTGATGATGAAATATCTATATCTGTAAAGCACTTCAAAATTGTTCTCTTTATCAAATATTTAACAAATCAAAAAGCATAATTGCTTCATAATTAATTCACTTTATTTTGAATTTTATAGTAGAAAAGACTCTAAATAATATCAAACATTAAAAACCCTAACCTTCCCCAAGACCTTTGCAAGGTGGTGAGCTTCTCATCATTTAATTTAAATTATTTGTATTCAATTTTCTTCTTTGCCAAAAATACAAATTAAAAATTATTGCCAAATTTGGTGCCTCAGACTTATTACACATTTCTTAAAAGGCAGCATTTTTTGCAGCATTTTTTTTTTTTTGCAAAATATTATGTTCATGACCTTGTTTGATTCTAGATTCTTCATCCATTTCCCATGTATTATTCTGCTGCCGGTTTCCATAAAACACACGCGAGTGTGAACTTGGCATTATGCAACAGTTGAGAGTCGTCGTCATATATTTAATTACCCTTTCTTGACTTGTGTTTTGTGTCACTTTGTGTCGCTAAAAATGTCACGCTCCACGAGCTGTGTCGAGTTTATCAAGCTTTAGAAATCTTCCTTCCAAGATGAAAATAACTTGTTGCTTTTATATCAGTTTTCCCTTAAAAATTAAATTATTAATTTTTGAGTAACCCCCTTAAAAATGGTTTTTTTTTTTAATTTTATCCAGATATTTTTATTATTCTACTTTTTCGAGCTCAATCTATGAAAACTTCGTTCTAGTCCAGAGAGCCTAAAACACTCTTCAGAGCTCAAACACGTGAAGATTTTCGTGGGTTTTCCCTGTCTCGAAGCCTCGAAAACATTTAATGCAAAGTCACTAGCAATCACTAGGTGCGTCACTTGTGGTGATTATTGCATTGTAATTGAACTTCTTGCGCACATGCTCTTATTATACATTTCTCATAAATATTTTTTTGTGCATAAGACATCACTGGATAAAAAGTAAAAAATGAAGGCGGCGTTAGAAGTAACGACGAGATTTCTTGTAATTTATATAAAGAGCTTATCCCATCAAACGCACGTGTGTAAGTTACGAAGGCAAGCAAGTTTAGTGCAAGGATTAATCATTTTTGTAGTTCAAAGTTATTTAACCGATAAACAAGCTGCGATTGAGCGTGTGAAGTTCATTTTCTTAACAAAATTTACTTATTTGTTTATAAAAATTCGCTTATAATTGCTTAAGTCTAATTAATTTAAATTATTTAAAAAGAAAAGATAATTGAATAACAAAATTTATTAAGACTGATGTTAATAGTTTAAATTAATTCTAATTCATGACGTTCATGAGTAATTAATATAATATTTTATAATTATACTTTCACTAATTTTTTTAAAAAAGCCTATACCAACAACACAAATTTCTGTACCAAACACAATGAAAAAAACATTCATTCCCACCGGATGAAAATTCATCAAATTGCAAATTGGATGTGATTATAAATTCTGATCAGTGGCTGCACCCATGAATATTTACACAAAATGCAACCGGCTTTATTATTTTGAGCCGGCAATCGCATTTTAATTAAAGGTCACCCCATCAGCACCGCTGCAGGTAAAATGATAATTGTGCGCATCTCATGCTCATGCGACGTCATTCAGCGGCACCAAGGGCAGGCGACTCACAAAGCAAGAGCACAATGTACATTAAATGTGCGCGTGTAAATCCGCGGCAGAGCAGTCGGCATGAAAAATTAGCCTCTCGGTTTCCTGACGCTTAATTAGCCGGCTCGAGGTATTTAAGCCGCGGCCGCGGTCGAGAGGAGCACATTGGTTTTCCATCATGAACTCGCTTCACATCTTGTTCGTCGTCGTGATTGCGGCCGCCGCTGTCAGTGGCTACCCTGAGCCACCCCAGTCCAAGGAGGTGAGTTTATTAATTCAGACATAGGAGCACAAATCTGGGCTTATATCGTTCTTCTGGGACTGCAATCTTTTTAGTCTTATTGAGTCACTTGCAATGGGTCTTTCCCATTGCATTTTAAATCTTAAATTTTTAATTATAAATTTATTTAAAAATATCAGGTATTGTTGATTGTTTCTTAATTCTTCACTTCATAACAATTCAAAGATTTCATGGTAAAATGTCAGCCCGAACAAAAGAGCACAAGAGTAGAATTTGAAATTTAAATTTAAAAAAAAACTAAAAACGATTGAAATTTAAATAGATTCCTTTTCCATTCCGGAATTTGCGAATGTTGGTTGAGAAAACAAAAATGCAGGTATTTCCAAACACTATTTATTCAAATTTTGATTGATAGCAGTTTCTTTTCTTTTTGATAAAATAATTTGTATTTTTAAGGCTACCATCAAAATTTTGAGAAACACGCAAGAGGTGGTGAAAAAGTTGTGTGCTGAGCAGACAAACGTGAAAGCAGGTCATTAAAATTTTACAAAATTTAATAAAAAAAAAGTCAATGAGAATGTATACATTTTCAGAGGACGTTGAAAGGTTGAAGGAAGGCGACTTTGAAGGGCACGTCAACAGCACCATGGTAACATTTAATTTTTATTTTATTTAAATTTAACTAAAAATCTTCTGATGTGTAGTGCTACATCAACTGCTACATCAGCGGACTGGGAGTGGTGAGTACCATTGAAAATATTTCGCACAATGCGTCTAATTGAGCTCCATTCAAACACACCTTGCAATTAAACGTCCATTCAAAACCCCTGCCAAAAGTCCAAACCACTGAGCTCTGACCACTATAATTTCAAATGGGCTCGAATTTTAAATCATATATTTTCTTTCAGATGAAGGACGGTGTGTTCTTGATCAAGGAAATGACTGAAGCCGTCATGAACATCATGCCCCCTGAGTTGGCGCAGAGGGCAATCAGCGCCATGGAAATGTGCAAGGAGCCAAGTGAGAGTTTGTCTTTAAAGTCAAATTGCAAAATTAATTTGAATTTGTTTTTCAGTGGGCAATGACAACTGCGAAAAGGCGTTCGAGTTGTCAAAGTGCTTCAAGACCACCGACGCGGAAGTAAAGAATAAATTTAAACGTTTCTTCAGAAAAGTAAAAATTGCCATTTTAACCCGTTTGCAGATTGCAAAGAAGCTCTTCTACCCGTCCAAGGACGGCGAGTAAGCCAACTGAGACGCTCAGGATGAGGGGCAGATTTGTATCTAGAATTGCATTTTTGCGCAAAATTTGACTTGTGATTTGTAGATTTTAATTGCGAAATAAAATGAGTGGTTTAAAAACCATATTTCCTGAAGTATTTAAAAAAAATTATTTTATTTTCACCGATTTTTCAACAGATATGTAGTTTTTTTTTAAAAGATAGTTATATATATGCAATTATAAATTCATTTAATTAATTTTCCTCGCTCCATTCTCATCCGCTCATCCGTTATATAATATTTGAATGAAAGCCTCACAAGGCTCTCTTGACAGAAAAATTGTACCTTGTAAAATAAACAAACAAAATTCATATTTAATAGTACATAATAAGCGGAAGTGCTCAGTCGTTGCATAATATAATAATAAAATTTTGCTCTGGACAGCATCTGCCTGCACTCTTGTTTAATGCATCTCCAAAGCATGATGCGATTTTGGACAACTATATTATTTGCTCTGCTCTTTGCTTTTCCTTTGATTCAGGCAAATATGGAGATAATTTTATTATAAATGTTCATTCTGAATATTATCGGCAGGGCAAAACTCTGAAAGAATGGCAGCAATTTGCAAAGGATGCTAGAAAGGAGTGCGCAGAGCAACTTGAATTGAGCGATGGCAAGTTAAAAAAACATATAATTCTGTTGAAAATATATTAATAAGTAATTGCAGCGGAATTTAATAATTTTAACAGCACGCTTAAAGAAAAGAATAATCTGGCGGATTTCACGGCCAAGCAAAGGGTATACTACCGATTTATTCCATAAAAACTGCGCCAATTAATACTCAAATTTTAATTGAAAAAGTGTTTTATGAAATGTGTCACTGAAAAACTTACTGGAGAAGTAATGCAAATTTATCATTTTTCAATTTCAATCTTGCTAATTATTTTAATTTCCAGAGCATGAATGACATGGAAAAATTCATGGGGCGTACCAAAAAACTTTTGGACGAAATTCCATTCAACATTTCATCAACTAAAAAGGAGAAATTATCAGAAATAATCATTGAATGCCAAAATTTGAGTAATTAAATAAGTTACTGCCAATCTTGCCCCATTGAATACAATTGATCATATCAGGAGGCGAGAATGATTGTGACACCATTGTCTTAATTCAGCTATGTGAAAAGGAAAAGCTTCAAAAGGCACGTCCACAATAGTTCATTAAATTAAAAAAAATTATTCATGATATTTTTCAAATCTCCAGTTTGATTTTGCAACTGATGATAAAGGCGATGAATGATGGGAGTAACTTGGCAATAACAATGGCAACATTTGGAATAAATTTATACGCAATGTATTGATAAAAAAGTAAAAAATAAATATATAGATAAGATTAATTAGTTTCTTACAAAAGGCAAATAAAAAGTGTTAAAATTATTTGAACATATTTTCCCTTCGAAATCAGATTTAATTCAATTTAAAGACAGCCAGCATTAACATTAAATTACCTTCACAATAATTTAGTGTGATTTCCAAGTAATAATTTTTTAATAGAGTTGTCTTGATGAATAATTGTTATAATAATTTGTGCAGACATTTCTCACAATCAGTAGGTAGCTCAAGATTTATTTTTTATGACGAATTAGGTAATTTTTATGATGATCTTGCAATTCTGTATGCAATAATTGTAGCAGCTGCGAAATACTAACGTACCTCTGCGTGTTAGAAATTAATGCAAACGAAAAAAAAATTGCAATTTAATTTTTGTATTTACCACAATTTTTAATGCAACATGTCAAATGATAGTACAATTGAATGGAAAGATAAAAAAGAATATGAATATAATAACGTGGTTACTGTCCCGGTAAATAGCTAAATTTTGAGAGGACCGGAACTGTATTAAAATCCCCTGCTCATTTTGGACGCAGCTCACTTTTCGCATTGCACATGCAAGTTGCTGTACTGTGTACTCGATGCTGCCTGCAATAGTGATTTTGTTTCTTGTCTCCTTTGCACCGTTAGGGGAGGTACACATTGAACGATTATGCGTCTATGGGAATTTTTGTTAATTATTTTTATCTAGACTAAAACAACTGCAGAATGGATTACGCTTGTCGCGGAATCTATCAAGGAGTGCATCAAGGAATTAAAGTTGGAAAATGGTCAGTAGAAAAAGTCAGTTATTCAAAGTATGAACCCTCTCTAATTTCCTCTCTATAAAGTAGAGTTTGGCTCCACATTTTCGTTTGACAAAGTTCTGAACATGACAAAGCCAGAGGAATTCTCAGCTAATTTAAAGGTTGGTGTAACAGTACAATTTTTTTCTAATAATTTATAAAAATGCTTAATCAAAGTGCCTGATTAAATGCGGAGCAGAGAAATTAAACGGACAGGTAAAGAAGATTTAAATAAAGTTGAAATTATTTAAGAAAATTTTTAGGTGTTCTCCAAGGTGGATGCTTTCATTGAAAAGGACATTGAAATAACACAGGCTATTATGAAAGCAGAAAATGTGTCGCTCAAGAAAATTGTCTCTTATTTGAAAGAAAGCAAGTCTTGCAATGAGGAGTGTAGGCAAATCTGGTAAAAAATAATCACATTTATTCAATTAGCTTTTCAGTGAGGAACAGTGGAAAAAGTGACTGCGAGACTTACATCATCTACTATCTTTGCACAAAAAAGGTCTACGATGCAGTCCTAAAAATGAATTGAAAGGAATTTTTTAAATTATTAATGAATCAATAAAAAAAATTGCTTACAATCTGCTTTTTTTAATTATTCTTAAGTTTCAAAATAATTTATTTTTATACTTTTTTATAATCCCACTCTATTATCTGTTTTTAATCGTGATTTTTCAACTTAAAAATGTCCATGGTCTTAAAATCGTAAAATGCATGATCAGAATTGTGAAGGCCAAAACTAATTTTTTTTAAAATGGATAAATAAATAATAATTTAAAATAATAAGGTATAAATAAAATTTCATTTGAAATTTTTAATCAAAGTTTGCAAACGATGCACTTATTGGCATCCATATGTGGTTTTAACAGAACTTAATATGATGAAGCTTGCAACGTGAAATTTGAATAAAATCGACTTTGACCACGAAATGAAGGTCATATTATGTTGTGTACGTAGACAGGAAATATAAAAATCCGCAACCTAGTCTCTGGGCAGGCCCACATTACTATATTCATTCCCTCTGCAAAAGTTGCTGCTCGTGACCAATGCTGCCTGAACTTTTGATTTTTGTTCTTGTCTGTTATGCACAATCTGGAGAAGTACATCATATTGCAACGTGTAAAATATCCTTAGAGACGTAATCAAATTCAAATTTAGACAAAAACCTCTGAAGAATGGAAAAAATTGATGGAAAAAAGTGCAGCAGAGTGTATTGGAGAACTTAAATTGGAAAATGGTCAGAATGATAAAATACGAAAAATTGTCACTTTTTAATTTTATAGAAATGAGTCCAAGTTTTTCGATGAGAATTTTGGTGAATCTAACCCAGCCAGAGGAATTCTCTGAAAATTTAAAGGTTACTATCGTGATTTATTGATTTAAAATGAAATGCACTAAACCCCGTTTCAGTGCATCACAAAATGCGTAGCGGAGAAATTTAATGGACAGGTAAATATTACAATGCTAAGACGTCTGGAGTATTAAGTATAATATTATGTTAAGGAACTTTCAAATGCGGAAGCATTCATTGAACGAGATATTGAAACGGCCAGGGATGTGTTAAAAGCTGAAAATTTGTCGCCCACGCAAATTGACTCGTACGTCCAAGCAAATGAGCCGTGCTATGAAAAATGTAGATAAATAAAAATACTCAATGAAATTTTTGATTTGATTTCTGATAATTTTGCAGTTAGACGCTCTGGCAGAAATGATTGTGACACTTACTTGACGCTTTATCTTTGCTCAAAAGGAGCATTGGTTGAAATTATGCAAATTAATTGAAATAAAAGTTGAAGAAATTATAAAAAAAATGCAATGTGTTAAATTATTTCTATAATGGCGCTTTTCTCCAACTTATTTGTGCTACAATAAACATTATAATTTTAAATAAAAATAAAATCACTCTCAGAACTTTTTTGAGGTTAGAGAAGTTGAAAATTTTCAGCTGACATAAAAAGCAGGATATTTTTACCATCGCTTTTGTATGCACCTTGCCATTAAAATGTGTTGAGTGAAATATAATGACTCGAAACAACTGGCGGCGGATGTGGCAATGACTAAAAATATAAAATATCACCTGAATTTCGTATTTGAAATGCACTCATTCTCTGCGTTCGAAGTGAACAAGATGCGTTTTGTTGCTGCTCCCGTCCTGCTGCTGTTGTTGGTGTGCTTCGCTAATGCGGTAAAATATAATTTTCCTGTTCTGCTAAAGGTCTCAAAATATTGGGCGGGTTTAGGATGTGAATGAATGGAGGAGAAAGATGGCCGGGTACCAAGATGCATGTGTCAAAGAGCTGAATTTGGCAGAAGGTAATTTAGATTTTTTTATTAATTACATCTTCCATTCTGCTTATATTGTTAAGGTCAATTTAAAACTTTTGAGGAAACAAAGCCGTTCACAACTCTGGAGGAATTCTCAGTAAATGATCGAGTATGTTTAAAAATTTATTAATATGGCACATGTCGTAAAAATACGGAAAAAATTAAAATTTTCAGTGCTTAATGAAGTGTGTGATGGAAAAGGAAGTTGGCCAGGTATAGAGTAAAATTTTGAATGACTTTTATTTATTTTAAAAGAAAAACGTACAACTTTCAAGACTGCGGATGACTTTGATAAGTTTTTCGAAAAAAGAATACAACTTCTTGACAGATTTGGATCCAAAAAATCGCCAGAGATCCGAAAAACACTCAAAGATTCTTTAGAAGCTTGCAAGGACCAGAGTAGGATATTAAAATAATTTTTGTTTAATTATTTGAGCCTTTCCTTTTTCCTGCAGGGGGAGAAAACGCTTGCGACACAATTGTCAAGTTCCACCTTTGCAAGAAGGCAAATTTGGACAAGGTAAAATTTTTTGTGAGATAAAAATTTGTAAAAAAATTTTATTTTAAGTTTTTTAAATGAACACAATCATTGAGTGTTCAAAATACAATTAAAAAATATTTTCAATTTTAGGCTGGCATGCGATTTCACTAATAGATGGACAATTTGACTGAAATGCGTCACCAGTCATCATTTTCAAATTTTGCATAAATGTCCTTTGAAAGATGATTGCAAAATACAAAAAAAAATTACATGCAAATTACAATTGGTGTTTTATTTGCAATTTTAGCCCAATTTTGAACTATGGAAATTTTCAGTAAACGGAAATGTGCAGTAATTTTGTTGATGTAGTCATGGTACTAAAGAGGAAACAGGCAATCTGCGGAAGTGCATTTAAAGTAAATTATTTACTTTAGAATAGTAGTACCTATATAGGTGAGGTGAAGAGTCGTGATATTCACATTCAGCCGAAACTTGTTCGCGAGTGACCATGTTTCCCGCTGCACTTTGCATTGTTTTCATCCTCTTGGCCTCGCCATTGGGAGAGGTATGCAATTTTTTGTGAGCTGCTTTTAATCGACAATTAAATTGATCACAACGAATGAAGTGATAAAATATTGTTAGCTGTTTTAAATAGCAGACATGATTGAGCTTTTTGCATTATTTTTAGTGCTCAATGATTTTTAAACATGTTAAATTATCATATCTATGGATACTAACTTTATTTTGAGGCTAAAACTATGGAAGAGTGGGAAGCATTAGAGAAAAAATCGAGCCAGGCCTGTCTTACTGAGATGAACCTTGTCAATGGTCAGTAATTAAAGTTTGTAACTTAATTTTTTTTTTACTTTGATTCTTTTGAATTTATTTCAGAACTTGGTGCAAACTTTACTTACGATAGCGTTGAGAATTTCACTAAACTTGAAGATTTCTCACCAAATGTCCGCGTAAATTGTTTTATGTTTTTAATTTATGCAATTTATTCCTATTGAAAATTATCTCTAAGTGCTTCATTAAATGCATCGAGGAGAAGCTTGTTGGACAGGTAATATTAAACATTAAAAAAAAAATAGTTATATAAGAAAGTATCAATATAGGACATGTCAAACATGAAAAAATTCTTAGACAAGGGGATGGATTACTGGAAAGACGTGTTTAAGGCACAGAAATGGTCACCGGCCAAAGTGAAAGCCTTCATTGATTCCATTATGCCTTGCGATGCTCTGAGTAAAATTGTTATTACCAAATTAATGTAACTGAATTAACGATTACAATTTCTGCAGGGGGACCAAATAATTGCGACACGATAGTATTGATGTATCTCTGTGAAGACAAAGCGATGAAAAAAGTCGAAAAACTTAATTGATTTGTATTTTCTGCGCTGTATGAAAATTGACAAAATATTTGAAGCAAATTTGTAAAAATTTTAAAACAAAGCAATAAACATGAATACAACCTACCTCAAAATTTATGTTACTTTTACTTCACATAGAAATATGGAATGAAAAATTACTTAAAACAATTTATCTATAAAATAATAATAAAGACTCAAATTGAAGTGCTGACGCAGCAGCGTTCAAAATTATATTTCAACAGGAAAAATATCATTTGAATTATTTTCAATTTTATAATATGTGTAAGCAGATTTCGTGTTTACTGTGCAATAAAAAAGAGGCCTGTCACTAGCTAAACGCACTTTGTAACCTGACAGCAAACAAGGATGAATTCTGTGCAGCACATCGTCCTCTTTACTCTTGTGCTTTTCGCATTCAGTGCGGTGAGAAAATATGGTTTATAAATGATGGATTTGGATGACCTGTTATTAGGCTAAGCCGTCAGAGAAAATGCTGAAGCAGTACGAGTTGACTGACAAGGAGTGTCGCGCTGAAAACAACCTCACAAAAGGTATCCCAGTGATTTTAACATGAAATTGAACTCACAAGTTTTAACAATTTTAATTTTTTGCAGATGAAAAACCAGACCCTAACGCAGAAGCTCCCCGCTCGTTCAAAGTAAATTATTCCTTAAAAAAGGGAATACAAAAAGGAAATTATTATACATTAAATTGGCCTTTTACAGTGTTACACGAAGTGCATCATCGAAAAGAACTTTTATAAGGTGTTTTTAATATTTTAGATTTCTCTTTACTTTTTTATTTTTTAAGGACATCACGGACGCCGAGAAAGTAATTGCTGGAGCAAGAAAATACTACTCAGAATTAGACCCTGCAGAGAGCAAAAATACCGTTGAGGCAAAAATCGCAACCATGTTAAAGTGCGGCACTGACAATGAGAGTAAAAATAATATTTTCCAAAAGAGATTCAAATTATAAGAAAATTTTCCTGGGAACAGACAAATCCGATGACGCATGCGAATATGCTTGGAAAGTGAACGAGTGCATCATGAAACATTACAAAGAAAAGAAAATGTAATTAATCTGCTGAAAATAAAAAAGATTGCAATTAAAAAAACCATATTGTTGTGCAAATAGTGTTTTACGATGGGAAGGTAACAGGAATTATTAATATAATCTTACAATATGTTAATAAAAAATGGATTTGAATAAAATGTTTAATCATTTCACTTTTTATGTCTCCAAAATCAAATAGAAAATGTACGTTCATAGGCGCAAAACTAATTCAGAAACTAAATTTTTCTATTATTTTGCATAAAGAATTTTTTAAATATTGTATGCAGCATATTCCTTAAAAATTATACAAAAAAAAATTAGAATATTATCTCTTTAATGCGCAATTGTATCTACACGCGCTGTTTATTTATTCAACAGTTCAGCCACCAGCCACAAAAAGCATGCAAAAAAATTAATTAATCTCTGTGCACTCATACAAAGTTGAGGAAAATTTTCCATGCTAAATTACTCTGCGCCCTTGTTGACCCCAGTCGACTGCTTTTTCAAGGATAAACACATACTGGACAAAAACATGCAGACACAATAATTGCGCGGACGAAGTGATTTTCGAGCACTTATCTCGTGGAGGGGTCACAACAAAATTGCGAGAGAGTGCAGCAAACAAGCGGCACATTCGCTCAAAAATTGTGAAGCGCACAGCTGAAAAAAAAACATCCCAAGTGCATCCATCCGAGCGACCAATTTTCGCGGTCAGGAAGCAGTTAGTCGTGGAGATAAAAAGCAAACAAAACTTTCAGCAGAGTTCAGTGCAGTTGAAAGAAATGAGACAACGCACAGCCAGCATGAGGCTCCTTTCAACGGTGGTGCTACTTTTTCTCTTGGCCGCGCTCGTCAGGGTAAAATGCAAATAAGTTAAGTACTCACTAATGTTAAGCATTAATGGAAAATAGGCACAGTCACCGAGCGAGATGCTCGACAACATGGCCAAGTCGGAGAAAGCTTGCAGGGAGAAAAACAACCTTAGTTCAGGTATGATCCAAATTTTTTTAAATAGAATTGATTAGAATTGAACCAATAACCAAAATGAAGATAAGAATTTTCTTCTAGAAAATGAATAAAGCTTATTATTTTATGCTTTGATGAGATGGATAGGACGATTATTTAAAATAAATTTCTAGTTTTGATTTATTTAAAAAATTCAATTCTTGATCTCTTACTTTGTTTACAACTGATTTTAAATATGTTTGAATTATTTAAAATAATATATCAAGAATAAAATTAAAAATTATGAAATAACGAAAAATAAATCAATAAAATTTAAATAATATTATCATATTCTTGTTGATGAAATATATTTTTAATTATTATTAATATTTACTTGTAGAAATCGCTATGAAAATTCAATGAAATAAAAAAATAATAAATTAGAAACTATAATAATAGCATTTTAATGAAATCATTAAAATACAAAAGTATTCCGTTACATTTGCATCATTATGTTTCCTGGGAGTTCTCCGAGTTCTCAAATAAATAAATAATAATAATAATAATAAAATCTGTTGATATAAATATACTTAATAAATATCTATGTAGTAGAAAATTATTCGCAAATATGAGATCAAAAATTTGACCCATGACTAACTTATCAATTTTTTTTTATCTCATTTTGATGATTAATTTTCTTTTGTTTTCACATTTTTTTCTGAAAAATAAAATTATCAGCATTGGAATAATTGTATTTGGATGAAAATTAAATATATTGATAAAGAAGAATAATTAGCTCATATTAATTGGTAAACTTTATGATTTATCAGATGAGATTTTGTCAAGTGTCTTGAACTTTATGACGAGATTGCATGACCTCAAATAACTACGAATGCAGAATAAATAAATAATGAAACATTTTTTACTTGGAAATATGACTTCTGTAATATTTTCATAATTATTACTTTATTTATTTATTTATTTATTATGCAAGTTTAAAATAGTAGTTTGAAATAAAATTTCCGATTAAAATTACAGGTACCTTGCCAGAACTTAAAATGACGTCCTCAAAAAGTCTTAAGGTGACTGATCTTAATTCTAAGGAAAATATTGACTAAATTTTTGAGTTTATTTCAGTGCTATGTGAAATGCCAGTACACTTCAAATTTAAACTGCGTAAGTACCGCTTGGTAAAGAAAAAATAATTTTAATATACAAGCAAAATAAATTTCAGTCAATCACAGACAGTGACACTTTCACGGAAAAAACAATGCAAACTTTTCTGAAAATGAACCCAAAAGCTACCAAAGCGACGATCGATCGTCACAGAAAGATTTTGACCACATGCACTCCACGAGGTATGAAATTGCAAAACGCCATTTGCCGTTTGTAATTTAAAAATTGGAACAAGATTTTTAATCCACCTTTTTGCAGGCGGTTCTGATGATTGTGACGCGTACGCTCAGTTTTCTATTTGCACCAGCAATGAATACCAAAAGGTTTATTCATCCCAAAATCAACAAGGGCAGCGACAAACGGTTCAACAACCAAGAAACAGAAACTAGTTAGGAGCTTTTGAGTGATTTTGTTAACATTTCGTGTGTTGGTGGATGGATTTGAATAAAGAAAAGGTGCCCCAAAACATATATGGATGCCATAATTGTTTTCTCCTTTTAATAATTTTATGAGCAGCTGTAACTAAAATGATTGCAGGAGGAATAAGAACTATGCAACCTGTAATGTCGAGAGGTTTTACAAGTTGCATAAGTTGTTAGAGTATTTGCTATCTCGCATTTTGGATTTCAGGTATCATTTCAATTATCGTATTGCAAGATGGGAAGACTGGTTAATTCAAAGTATTTAATAGCAAACCTTAAGATGAAATTAAAATATTAATTTAATTAATAAACTTTATCAAACACTATAGAGCAATGTTGATAGCGATGAAAAAAATTCCATTCAGATGTTATTAAATTTGAATAATGTCTACACGTGCGACATTCAAAAGACCTTCTTTATCAGAATTGGACTTTGCTATTTTGTATTTAGATTTACGAGAGCAGCTCAGATATTTCAGATAATTATTCATTTTTTTGTCAACATAATTTTCCATTTTTCAATACAAAATATATCCTTGCTATTGTTTTTGTAAACAATGGAATCAAAGATGTGTACATGAAATTAAAATATACTACAAAAGGCCAATGCTCTATAGCAGAGAAATTGTGGTCTAAAAGTCACACAGAAAAAATAAGATAAAGTATTCGAAGATGACCTGATAACGAGAGTCATTGAACTGTCTCATCCGTTTGTCGCCACATTTAATTAAACTGGCCCAGACAGACACCCTCCGAGGTCACGATTGTGCAAGTGTGAACTTTAGTTTTACAATGGTGCGACTTGCAGAGAAATCATGCGCACTGATTGACGATGACACATTATAAATGCCCAAAAAGGCGGCCGTCTCGCCACTTTTGTCCTCAATTTCTTCAGCCCCGCTGTCGACAAAATGCGTTCCTTCGCCTTCGCCGCCGTTGTCTGCATGACCCTTGTGGTCGCCTCCGCAGTGGTGAGAGAGTTTTTACTTTTTAGATTTTTCTATACTCAAAGCCATGAATTTTTAAACTTCGAGTCTTCCGCAAGATAAATACGAAATTTGTTTTCAAATATTTATTGTGCCACATACCATGTTATCACAAAATTTATTTTACCACATTACATGACTATTTTTTTTATCAACTCTATGTGAAAATTAAAATAAAATAAAATGCTTTAAACAACTTTTAAAATTGGATTATGCAGAAATCTCTCCAGATAATTTTAAAATTAAAAATAACTTAGATTCCTACCGAGAGGAAGGAAAAGTCCGACAAGCTGCGTGCCGAGTGTAGGGAAGAGCAGCACGTCACAGTGGGTAAGTGAGGACCATTTTTTTCAAGATCATTTGAAATATTTTCTCAATTCCAGAGGATTTGGAAATCCTCAAGACCAAAGAGTATGGCCTGCAGTACCCTGAAAAAGTTCAGGTATTATAAAGACAATTCGTAACATCGCAGAAAAGATTTTCACGTTTTCTTTTTTTCCAGTGCTACCTGAAGTGCGTCGGTGAAAAGTACGGACTTGTAAGTAAATTTATTTGCTTTTTTTTTACTAATTCTTCAATTAATAAATGATAAACTTTTGCTTCAGTATGAAGATGGCAAACTGGTTGACGCTAAGGTTGAGACAGAGCTGCGGGCTGACCTGGTTGACAACCCCACCAGGGCTCAGGAGCTCATTGAGCACTACGGCCACTGCAAGGGAGAGAGTAAGTATTAATTTTTTTAATGAATTTATTTTGATAAATTATTTGACGAACAAAATAATACCTTAACTAATGACTATTTTAGTGATAAATAATATTTTAATATTAATTGCACTTAAAAAAATTTGTAACAAGCAAACGCTCTAATTTTGCGTTTTGTGATTGCAGCTGGCGCTACCGCCTGCGAAACCGCTGCCAAGGTCTACAACTGCATCATCACCCACAAGCACTGAGTTTTTGAATGTAAATAAAATTGGCTCTCAATAAATATCAGCTACAAAACAAAAAATTTAATAAATATTTTACATTCCCTTCTAATTTATTTATGATTTTAAATTAAATGAACATAATAATCATTTGAGAAAATTTATTGATGACGATAATGTGATAACAATATATCAAAAATTGATCATCTCTCATCCTTCTTGAAACTTAATTTTTTTCAACCTAATAATAAGCTTCTAGATTTAAGAAATAATGATAATAATATTATGCCCCATTTAAAGTGTTTACTTCCATGTTAAATATTTTATCAATTACTTTGAGTTTAGTTGCATAACATATTTATATCAATAGGTCAGATATTTGCATGGAAACAGAATTGTAATGACCTAACAGATCTTCATCAAGGTCATCAGTCTTGTTTGCAAGTATATTTTCAAAAAGATTAAATACGAACATGCGCAGTATATCATTTTTAAAGTTTATTTATTAATATCGAAAGTTCAGAAAAATTAATCACTATTATTCCGTTTGTTTGCCCTTAGCATAATGAGTAATTTTGTCTTTGCCACCATACTCTGCACGGCCCTTACAGTAGTCTCTGCAGTGGTGAGATTATATTTTCCTTATTCAACTGCCAAATGATTGTGTTTAAATTCAGTCCATAGTGAATTTTAATTAGCAATTCTCGAGTTCAGAGAAAAAAAAATCAGTGATTGAACATTTGAATTAGAAAAAGTGCCAATATTCTAAATCAGCTAAAAGAAACTTGAGTTGCAAAAATATCAAAATTTTTACAATTTATTCTAGGTTCCCGAAGAGATGGCTGTAAAAGGAAAGAACTGGCGAGCTGAGTGTAGAGAGGCCAACAATGTTACACTTGGTTAAGTTTCCTCCTAATGGAGGTGAACATTGTGTGATGAATACATTTTCAGGGGAACTGGAAATTTTGAAAAACATGCAACCAGGCGTTACTTATCCTAAAAAAGTTTAAGTAACAGAGTTTTTGAGAAATAAAAATGTTGCAATTTTAATAAATTTTTAATTTAACAGTGCTATCTGAAATGTGTCATGACTTCAAAATTTGGACGTGTATGGAAATCGCTACAAAAAGAGAAAATCTGATTATATTACATTTTAGAATGATGAGAATGGAAAACACATTTATGATCAAGTTGTTGCGGATTACCTGACCAATAGACCGGAGAAGGTCGATGAGGTGAATAGAAAATTTGGACACTGCAAGGACGAGAGTGAGTTAACCTCATTCCTAGAGTTCAGTTTTCTGTTAAGTGATAATTTATTTCCAATATTACAGCTGGAACAGACCCTTGCGAGATCGCAGTAAAGGTTTACTTCTGCATCCACACTTACAAACACTGAGAAACTGCAATGTGATTGACTTGTAAAAAAATCCCGAATAAAAAATGAATGTACACGTTTGTATTATTTAAAACTAAAAAAAGCATCAGCATAAACACAATTTGCAACTATAAACACGATGTATTGAAGACGATTTAAAAAAAATTGGATAAAAATAGAAAATTCGCAAATCATTTAAAATGGGAATTGTTCTTCAGAAATTTGGCTAAAACAACTGCCAACGCACCATTGTATAGAGGGGAAGTGCCATAAAAAAAGATGCTTTACAATAATTAAATCGACAGAGTTTAATTTCATTATAAAATTAAGATAAATCAAGACATAAATCAATGGCCTCGATAGGTCAGAGATTCACATGCAAACAGGAATTTAGTGACCTTCACTCTGATGGCCCTGGAGTCCTTCGGAGGTCACAAATATATTTAGAATAGTTAAAATGAGCTCATGCGCATAACTTCTTTTCGAAATTGTGTTACACAAAGAATTAATAAATATTCATTCCGTTTGCTTTCAACAACAGTATAAAATGCGTGAATTTGTCACTGCGATTATCCTCCTTATGGCTTTTGGTTCTCTGGTAAGAAAGTTTTCTATTTTCTCTCGCCCATCCAAAATAAAATTTAAATAAGTCCCATTATTTGAAAATCATTATATCATTAAACTCATACTTTTCAATGCCAACAAATTTGTAAATTACATTATTTTCAATTGTTACTTTATTATTTTTAATAGCTTGCTAACGCAAATGAGAGCGAAAAAGTGTATGCCAAGTGCATGGACACCCATGATGTTACTGAGGGTAAAATATTTTTACTTTAGAAACCAGATATTGTGTGATAAATAAATTTTCAGACGACCTGGAAATTATGAGGAATACAGAAATAGGTTTTAACTATCCTAGAAAAGTTCAAGTAAGGTATTTACAAGAATTTTAACAATTTTAATATAAATTTAATTATTCTACAGTGCTTCATGAGCTGTCTTGCAAATCACACTAAATTTGTAAATATGCTAATTTTATACATATTTTTTTATTAAGTAATTTAAAATTTTATCATGATACATTTTAGTTTGATGAGAAGGGAAAAATCAATTATAATGTAAGTATTGCGTCACTCCAAACTTCCCTGGCTGAGGCTCCAGAAGAGGCCCATAAGGCGACTGTAGCAATCACACGCTGCAAGGACGAGAGTGAGCTTTCCACATTGTCAGCAGTAAACATTGGTTACGAGCAAATTAATTTTCATTGCAGTTGGATCGGACCCATGCGAGACTGCCGCAAAGATTTACTACTGCCTCAAAATGGCGTCAACTTGAGGAGCTTTGCCGGTTGACACAATGAAAACGCACAAATAAAATATTTTAATAAGATTTACATCACGCTAATAATAAAATTGATTCTTTTTCGTTTGCATTTTAATTTTTTTATTACAAACATCCAAAAATAATATAGTCTTATTTAAGTTAAAAAGGAATAAACTAATTAATCATACTATTTAAAGCAACAAAATTTCAACTGGAAATCATGAAAGAGTGGAAAATAGTTTCATTTGCATCAAAACATTTATTTTTATCAGCAGATGCTGTGGGCACCGAGTGCATAAATATTTGTTATTATGTCATGCGGCAAATTGAGAAAGGGCAAAACGAATGGGAGATCCAGTCAATCAATCGCAGCGTTAATCAATGAACTTTATGCTGATGGCCGATAAATGCGCACCAGCTCGTCCTCGTGCACTCTGGCCTTTACACCAACAGGCGATGATAACGCAGCCCCGCACACTCGCTCCATCAATCGGCGCCTCTTTTTTCTTTGAGTGTAACTCGCGTGCCAGCTTCTGCTTAACCGCGAAATGAATCTCTTTAATCCCGCAATCATCGTCGCCCTGGCGCTACTCGCCATTCCTTACGCACAGGTAAGACGCGACTGAGCTGACAATTATAAATTTTATTTCTTCTTCCAAAATATTTAAACTGACTTTCAAACAACACGCTTTTCAATGTTGACAGGGATTTGGAGAATCAGCCACTGGGATCACAAATCTCACTGAAATTGTTCAACAGTGCAAACGAGAGGCGCAGATTTCACGTGGTATTTAATGAATTGAAAAAATGTGTTTATTTAATGCAACATTTTTTATTGAACAGCTGAGCTTCAGGCATTAAAGAAACCTTACCCATTTCCATATAAAATAAGGGTAACAATTTTAAAATTGCTGTTTAAAATGTACTGATTAACTATTTTTCAATATTTCTAGTGCTACATGAAATGCTACGCTGAAAAAAATGGGCTTGTAAGTAATAATTAAATTTATTAATCATCGTTGCATGTTTAGCTAGTAAAAGAGTTTTTGAGAAAATTTTTAAATAAGTAATACGTTTAGAAAATTAATTTAATTAATTAATAATAAAAATAAAATTTCTTCATTGAGACTCCCCTTGACAAATAATCAAATATTTTTAGACAAGAATCAAGTTTTTATTCCAAGCAAAAGCTTAATTTTTATTATTCTCATGGGTAATGACAGCCACCTGGGAAATTTTTATATAGTGAATAAATAAATTAATATTTTGTATAAGACTATAATAATATCAATTAAATTTTGTTATGTTTTGTTCAAAACTTCTTTCTTTATTTATGTACACAGCAATTATGTTATCTTTAAGTGTAATAAACAATTAAATGATAAGATCATTAATTCATTGTATTTTTGACAGTGGTCAGATGGCAAGCCGAACGATAACGCCGTCATCAGTACAATTAGGAGCGACTACTACTTCCATCAAGACAGTGCCAATAAGCTCGTAGCTAGATACAACAATTGCAAAAATCTAGGTAAACTTCAATGTTCCTCTTATTTTACGTAACAAAAAAAATCATTTTTCAGTGGGAACTGACGACTGCGACACGGTGGGTTTGATTTACGAGTGCCTGTACCCACAGCAGCCACCGTTGGAGCCCATCAAAGATTGAAAAAGGGGCCTTTTGAACTTTCTGCTGCTGATTGTAGCCACGGAGAAAACGTTTTTCCATAATTTATTCAATAAAGTTGGCATTTTTCAGCAAACGAAATATAAATCTCGATTTTCTTTTTGAGAAAAAATATATAAAAACACTCTGGTTTCTTTTCTAATGTGCAAAAATACGTCTGGAGCGAAGTCCCTGGCGTGACAATGACAGATGCGTGGAGCAGCGAGAGTGGAAAGGTTTCTCATATTGTATCTCGCTTTCCCCTTAGGAAAAGTAAATTTCACAGCCGGCTATCTCGAGCACTCAATCACTCTCGAGATTATTGTCGCCATGACGAGACCAAATTGCGCATGTTTTATTTATTTTACTTCTCTGCACTGAGTGAGAATTTTCCAATCCGTTTCTTTCGCTCTTTTGCGATCAATCTTTCCAATCTGAAGACAACAAACAGCCGCCGCGTGTGCTTGCCAAAGCAATAAATTTGCAAGAGCAGCTTATTATATTTTGCCGCCGGGAAGACTAGACGGAATTGGAAGTAACTCTTGTGCACCAAAACAATGCATGGCAGCCAGTGTGACATCAGTGGAAAACAAAGTCCATCTATCTCTTGGTGAGCGAGATGCTCAGGGGTTTAAATTGCTTTATTGCCTCAGAAAACAAACAGGACTAGAGCAATTAGAATTGCGCCATTGGTCGGCCGCAGGTGGCGAGATGATTTCTCTTTCTAGAAAGACTGATTTCTATATTACAACTCGCTCTTATCAGCGAATTTCTTCTCACTGCAGCACAAATAGAGGCAATGCATCATTTTGACTGGCGAGCCGAGGCGCAAATTCATTTATTTTGATCTACAGGCTCTCTGGGAAACGTTGTAAATCATTGGTCCGTTGCCAGCGGGCACGCAAGACGTCTTTTTTCGGTTGCAGAAATAAGCGTTGGAAAAAATATTATTAAAAATTATTTTTTATGGATTTGTAATAATTGAAAAAAAAACAAGTACATTCACTGAGTTAAATATAGTTCGTTAGTGTTAAGTGATGCATGCAACATAAATCATCTGAGTTTTCTTTTTTCCTCACTTTTATTAAAAACTTTCAGCAGTGCTCTGTTTTTTTCTTTTATGTTGTTTTATTTAATTTTTTCAGGCAGATAAGTGGTGCAAAAAAATTATTACGATTGGCTATTTCTAATTTAATTAAAATTCAATTCATTTCTACTTTTTAAACAGACAGTAAACATATTGAACAATCAACTCAGTGCTTGGAAGATGGACACTTCTTAAATTCGGACCCTGATTCGGAAACGAAACCAAAACAAATGGCTCTCGAAAATCTCCTTCAGCTTTGATCGGCACTTTTGTTCCTGGTTCAGCACACCACATCAATTTATTGTCATCGGAAAAGTAGGTTGAGCCCCACAATATGTGAAATGTTTCACCTATTTAAGAATTAACTAATGAAAGGTCTTACACAAATCTATGCACAAACCTTGGAACTTTGAAAATATAAAGTTGAATTCACTCTCATTTATTGCAGAAGGTAAAATGGAACCAAGGGAATTGCACAAACCAAGTAACTTTTGTAATGACTAACATAATTATTCATAGTTAATCTTAATTTACTTTTAACATCATTCCAACGCACCCATTTTAAATGGTTATTTATTGAAATTATTTATAGAAATTCAATCTTTAACTCAGCAAGTTTTATTTCCTGTTGTGACGAGCTTATTTAGCTTGTGATTTACGTCAAAAGCACACGAAAAATAAACAGAGCCCAAACAGAGCATCAGTTTGCGTAAATGAGTGTTTTGTTTTGGCAGGCTTCCTGTGTAGACACTAAATTTCGTTGAAAAAAAATATGATCATTGTTGATTGAAAAGTTGAAACCAAAAACTTATAAAACATCACTAAATAGGTAGAAAGATGATACAATGTGCTAATATCTTATAAAGTAAAAATTTAAACTATTTCACAAGCCGCTGTTCGTTGCGAAATTTGCTGTACATAAACTTAAGCATCCTCTCTGGAGACCCAAGTGCACCTGCAGCAAACTTTACACTCCCAAGAAAACTCGAAAATTCAAGTTGGAAAACTGCAAAGCGGGAAGCAGCAGTAAATAAAAACAGCGTGTGCATATTTCAGGGCTCGAGTGGCGCACGGCAGGTTTAGAGCAGCTGTCGGCTGTTAACAATTTCCCCGCGCGATAAAATAAGATGCACTTTTTGTTTCTCCTGCAGGGATCATTACCGGGGGCAGCAAAAAATACTGCGCCGCCGGGGGTGAGTTATGTTATGGGAGTTTGTGGCACGATTAGCGCACCTGTGCCGGCGCGGCGAGCAAAACCATCATCATCGCGCCATCACCGTCTGAATATTAATATCGCAGGGTGCAACGCTAGGGAGCAAACAAAACACGTCGTTTTAGGGGTGCGCTTAATCCCCTGCGACTTTCAGGTGCATTTGATGCTTCTTAAAGAGGGCTGTCTCGTTTTGCATAAATATACGCAAGTACAACGTCGTGTTTTCAAGTACGAGGGAAATTAATTGTTAGGGCTCCTTGAGTGCTGGCAAATGATCTCCATTACTGCTGATTTAAGGGAGTCAATTAGAAAGAGAGGGAAAACTAATAGGGGCAATTTAGATATTTAGGTGTAGTCCTTAAAAAAATTTATTTATTTATATTTGGGTTTTATATAGAAACAATTTTGCATTATTTTTAAATTTTTAATTACTCAATGCAATTAGCCATAAATTATTTTTAAATTTTTTCAACAAACAATTAAAAAATAATTCATGGAAACATAACCATCTTAAATTGCAACGTTAGTTTCTTCCGACTTTAAAATTTGAAGAAGTAAATCGTAAAAAAATGACGAATAATTGAAAATAAATAAAATTGAAGAAGCAGTATTGATGAAATAAAATAAAAACATTTGTAGCTCGCAATCTTCAATTAAGTGTTAATTGATACAACAACAACACAAAAATCTGTGATTGCAAATTTTCAATAATTTTAAGTGATAGATAAACGAGGAAATTTATACTTGATTGCAAAATTTGAAGTTACAAATTTATTTCAAACTTTTCGCATTAAAAGCTTCTATAAAATGGATCTCTGCTTTTTTGATAAAATCGCGAATTATTTTCATCCACCTCATTACCCCCGCCAAAAACCAGCTCTCCATGCTTGTTAAAAATTTCTGTGACATTGCCCGTGAGAAGTTGCGTTCAAACCCCCTTTTTAACAAGCCTCGTTTCTTTGGGTTGGAGAGCGAAAGAGAGCGAATTCCTTAATGACGCCGGTCTGTTTGCCTTTTCTTTTGACACTTCTTGCCAACCTAATTCTTACACTGGATGATCTCGCCGTGAAATCTTGAATGAATTTCCCAACTACAAAGCACCCCTTTCCAGAAGCTCCCCTCATTTTTCTCTCAAAAGCTCCCCTGCTGCTGCTTTAATGCTCGTATTTTCCAAGTAATGATCAATAAAATTTTTCCTTGCCTGTTTGCAGAACGAATATCATTACACGCAAGCCGCGAGCAAAAGATTTCCCGATTCTGCGAAATACCTCGGGGCAATCTGAGCGATTTTTTTCTCTCAAGGAGTAACGGAAAAGATACAGACGAACAGTCAAACTACATCATTTTTTTATGTTTGCTTTGAGGAAAGGAAATGTTTTATTTGCACAGAAAGAGTACAGAGCTGCTGCAACCATGAGGGATTTTACACTCGATCGAGTGCAAAACCAAATCTACATAAAAAGCACTGGACCAATTTTCAAAGTACTTATCATCAAAGGGGGGAAATTTTAACATGAATTGCAGATTTCTAAATTTTTATAGTAAAACTTCGCTTCCGTGCAACTCCATTTTCCAAAGCTTAGGACTTCTGCAATTTTCCTGACGTGAACTAATTATAAATTCAAACGTTAATAAGAGCAAAGTGAATAAAAATGTATAATCATACCTTTGCTGAAACATTTTTTACGCAGATTAAAATTTTTGTAGCTGTCATGCATGGACATTTTTCAGCTAAAAGATTAAAAATGAGTTTTGATAAGATTTGAATGATGTTTTTTACAGATGTCTTTGCATTCCTTCATGATGGCTAAGTCTCTTTCTTTGTCTTCTGGCTTCTCCTTCCAGTGCTCACTCATAATGTTCAGTACTGCGCTTTCAATAACCTTTCCATCCTTGTACTGGGCACACACAAAAATATGAAAATTTTAAACGATGATTTTTTAATAAAGCATACCACTCCCATATTTTCAGCAATGCAACTGATGAGGCACTTGATTTTTTTTTATAGAATAATAATATTATCTAAACAAACAATTTTGATCATTGATAAATTACTTGAGTTCCGTTTGTGAACGTGGAAGGGTCTCCTTTAAACATGGCTTGAACATCATCTAAATAAATTTAGAAACAAAGACTTGTATTATCTTCATTAATAGTATTCGTCAAAAAAATTATACCGTTTGACAACTTCAGATCCGCTTGGCACTTTGTTTTCAAAGCATCGATTTTCTTCATGCAATCCTCCTGAATACAAATATTATTCATTTGAAAGAAGAAAAGCAATTGTGCTGCTTACCCCGGCTAGAGCGTAAGAGGCGAATGCCAAAACCAGAATGGTACCAAAAGCGAATTTGTTCATGATTCGGCAGAGCTGTCAGTTAGCAGTTGAAGCTCAAAACTGAAAGTGAATTTGCTTTTGCAAAACGAGCGTATTTATACTTTTTATTGGAAAATTGGCAGGAAACGCATTTGGCAAATAATAGAAAATTGCATAAAATTGGATATGTGCGGAAGGTCATTTTGCAGGACTTGTGCTTAATTCAGTGAATGCAGCTGAGCATTATGCAAAATGTGCGAGTGAAATAGGTTTGCAGTTTGAATGGAGCGGAAGCCGACGGAATTGTTGGAAAAAGTAGCGGACGCGCTCTGTGATCGGAACAGGCAAGGAGAGCGTTCACACACTGAGCATTGGTGGCGTGGCACTCCAGCTTAGGCAACCCTCTTGACTCGCGCGCTCTGCGGCACAGTTTTGAAAAAACTTTTTAAATTTTCTGCAAAAACTAAAAATTATTTCATTAATTTTACTTACAAAAAATTTTTTTACTCTTCGTTTATCTTTCAATATTATATATTTTCATTATAAAGCTCTTTATTATTGCATCTAGTTAGAAGCCGAAAAATTCAAAGCTTGAATGGTTTTAAACCAAAATAATTTATTGTTTTTATTTTTAGAACTAACGATTATTAACTTCCAATCTAATCTTATGATTAAAGACCATAATTATAATAAACAATCCACGCTAACAAGTTAAATAAAACAAAAATACCTTAAGTTCCATAATTTCAAATAATTTCTAGATCTTTTGATAAAAATTAAAAAAAAATAAAGATAATAAAATTTAAAGCCATTTATTTGTTGCCTAGTCTCAACAGAATGTTCTAGGCTAGACATTCTTGTAGACAATGTGGATACAAATCAAAATTCATAGTTTATCTTTAAGCACCTCTGACAGGAAAAGTGTTTTCCGCGGGTGCCATTGTTGATTCTCTGTCAAACACGCACTCCTTCACTTTCGACCAGGTCGTATAGATCCTTGATAGAAAAGCTTGTCTAGCATACCAACTAGTCGTAGCTATTACCGAATCAGTGGACTGCTCGCAGAATTAATATGCATGGACGGCGGCGACTAATCAACATTTTCGCAGCGCAAAAAGGTGTTGTTGATATCACGAGCAATAATTAGCCGTTGCAAAATAGATCTTGCAAAAAATGAATATATCGGCTTACTTTCAACAACGCAAAACAACTCCAGTGTGGCGACGTGGAATATCTAAAAATAGCAATCTTCCCTAGAACTAATTGAAAATGCGGATCGCGTGGGCCCGAGCGGCATTAGAAGGTAAACACAGCAGCAGGCCAAAAGAAAAGTGCAAAATGTGCAGTGAATAAAATTAGCGAGTGGTCACGACATGGCCGGCCGAAAATCAACGTAATTAACTGTGCTCTCGCGAAAACAGTTAATCAAAAGACTTTGAGCGACCGCTGCTCAAACACACTCTGCTCAGAATGTATAATATTTGCACTGCGGCCGCGTGCGAATTTGGATGCCGCCGCCGGCCGCCAACAATTAAAGTCGCGCGCGATTTGCTTTATTGCCTGCGATTTGTGAATGTCGCACTTTTAAAGTGTGTTGGCTGATGAGTCATGAACTCGCAAGTAGAATATGGAATAACTGAAACAAGTCAGTGCGCGGTCAATTTCGCTTCAAGGTGAGTTTTTATCAGATTGCAAGAGTACATATTTAGAGCACTTTCCGAAGCTTGATAAAATTACTGAAAACATAAGAAAAAATAATATTTGTATTTGTATTGTAAAATAGTGTAGAATTATGATATTATTATTTATTTATAAATTTTAGCTCCCACCCCCCACCCCTCTGAAATTAGATGTGATATTGTGTGGTTCAGCTAAATCTCTAAATCTTATTATTTATCACCGTATTATTCATTGCTTTTCAATTTCTTCTGAGAAGACTTAGGAATAATAAGTATTTTAATTGTAAAACTGATCTACGTTTACACAAATGTTTTTGAATTATTCAATCAATCTGAGGAAAAATCCAAAACTTGTTTATTATATTTCATCAATTAAAGAACCACTTGTAAAATTGAGTTACTTTTAATACTCAAATAATTATCCGATTTTATTTTGACTTTGCATATTATTATTCAAGGTTTATCGTCATTTTCCCTTTATACCTGTTTGTAAAAAAATGAATTGTAAAAATTGTAATTCCCCATTATTGCGCACATTGAGCCCAAAGCCAGACAGCTTCCTGGTTGCAAATAAGCAGATTTCAATAACGCCGGTTCGCCAGTGGCGTTTCACGTTTGCTCCATCCGTGTTTGTTGCATTCTCTTTTGGTCGGTCATCTCTCCATCATCTCATTCCGCTGCCAACGCTCAGGGGATTTCTGCGCTCATCTCTGACGAATCCTGCTCGAACCAGACTCGACAGTTAATTGCCGCTGTGCACATATTCAATTGATGAATGATTGCTTTTTTGATCCTGATCCCAAACCGTGCAGGTGCATGGTGATCTTTTATTTATAATTCATCCACGATTGCGTCACTCACTTGGTCGTGCGTAATGATGTAAAATATCATGCATAAATGGGCGCACTTATTAAAGGCAAGAGAATCATTTTGAGAAATGAACGACTTCATATTGAGAGAAGCAAAAAGAGGGTTTCAATGGGAGTCTGGCAGGGAGGAATTTCAATATTCTGAATTAATATAATTAAAATTAAATATTTTTCATAATAGAGCATTGTTTTTGCCCATTTTGTGGCTAAAGACTACTATTTTAGAGCATCATGAATTCTTTTAAAAATTAATTAAATTTTCATATTTTTAACTCTTAAATATATTAATAGTGAAATGTAAAGTGTATGTCCAAATGAGTTACTCATATTATAGATATAGTAATATACTTTTCCTATTAACACTATAGATGAGAGACAAGCCAGGATTTAAAATGTATTTATTTACAAGAAATACGCTTAATACACATATAAATATTGCACATTTTATTCATATTACATTAAAAGTAAAATTAAAAACACTTATAAAATTTAAGTAAACAAAGAATGTAGTAAAATCTAAATTAATAGGTTTTTTGAAATCACATAATTTTTACTACTTTTTCATGATTAAATTTTGTAATTTAAATGTTTTAAGTATGAATTATGTAATTAGGCAGTAATTTTCTAATTATATAAATCAATATAAATCAATAATGAAACTTTACCTTTAAAACTTTTTTTAATTATTAAAAAGCACCTTAATACTTAATTTGTAAAGAAGCCCGCATGTAATTATAAAAAAAACGGGCTATTTGAGAATTGAAGAAGTTGAACTTTAATTTGGAATTCCCTGAAGAAGAGCGCCCAGTGATTTGGCAGGTCGCAAAAACCGCGAGGCGCCCCCTGGCTCCCCCCACTCGGCAAGCAGGTCCGCCACTGGGCACCTCACGCATTCCTCTTGGCAGTTGGTAATTATCGCAGGGTCAGACTGCTGGGCGCTGGCTGCAGATACATAATGTGTAATTCCCGTCGGTCGGAGCGACCGGTAGGAGCCGCTCCATCCATCCTCCTGCGGCCGGCAACAGCGCCGTCAGGCGTATATCAGCGCACCGGTGGGCAGGTGCCTTCCTCAGTCCTTCGCCATGCTCCCTCGAAGACTCAGCTGCCTCTTGCTGCTCTTGGCCGCCTCCGCCGAGGCCGTGCCCAGCATTGGCCGCCGACGAGGCAATTCCTCCACGGGCGTCTCTTCGCGCAAACTCAACCCTCACAAGGACGACCTGTACCCTGACGCGCCCCAGGAGAAACTCATCTGGGAAGAGAACTTTGACCAACTCGATCTCAGCGTCTGGGATCACATGGTGACCGGCTGGCGCGGCGGCAACAAGGAGTTCCAGTACTACAGAAATGACAGGCGGAACAGGTATTTTTTCTTTTTAATTTTTTTTCCAGACAGATTTCAATTTAGTTGACGTTTGTAGTCAACAATTTAATTCCATTTTTTTTTTGTCTTTTGTTAATTATTGAAATTAATAGTTAATTTTTTTAAATGACTCTTTGCCTATATTATTTTTTTGCTAGTAAAGTTTTACAAACCATGAAATTTTATTTATTATTATTATTTTTTTAATAATCCTGTTAGACCTAAATATTTAGGAAAAATTAATTATCATCCAATTTATTTCATTCCAAACTATACAAGCAAATTTTTGTCATGTATAATAATGCTTTGTTTTGAGGTCACTTGATTCGCCAGCATAGTTTGCAAATTTTAATACAGCTGGACATTTTTGTTTACCGGATATGTGACGCTCTCATTTCCATATGTAATATTCAGTATAGCGGAAAACCATGCCAAACTGTGATGCTTTTCCACCTTTTCCACACTGCTGGAAAACTTTGACTATTATCAAAAAAATCATTTAAATTAGAAATAAGCTTACCTAGCCCAACCATATCAGTAATTTGAAAAAATAATGCTTGTGACGTACAAAAAAAATTCTTAAAACGGACTTTTCGACATAATTTAATTCAACTTTATCAAAAAATTTTTTCAGTTTCCAAAGTTGTCCTTCACATAGATTTTTAGAGTCAACATAGAGGTTTAACGCATCCCTGACCTGCATATTTGAAGTCACTTTTTAAATTTTGTGTTGATTGTTGAATCAACAATGCCCCAAAAGTGTCACATGCGAAAGTGTCGAATCTCACTTTTGACACAGTAATTCCATTCTAGCGTATTAAATTTATGCAAATATATAATTATATTTTAAAACTCAATATTCCTGCTTTTTTGCGCTTCCAAATTTTAAATATTTTATCAAATATATATCATTTGATTAATTTGCGTAAAAAAAAAAATGGAAGAAGGCGATGCCCGGTCAAATTAGCAATGTGTCTGCTGCTAAGCGGCCGATCAAAAGTGAAAGACCTTGGCATTGGGCTCACAGTGACCTTCCATCCAGCAAAGTGATGTGAGCCTTTATTTAAAACAAACGCCCATCTTTCCTCCCGGCATCAGCGCGCGGGCATTGACCAACTCGCATGCACGATTCTTTAATCATCTTTTTCATATGGTCGTGATATGCCGCTTGCAGATTTCGCATATTTCCTTCCATGCCCTTTCGTAGGTCGATCTCTCGATGGTGGTAATTAGGATCTTGACGTGTTTCTTTTCATCTTGGCACGATGTTTGCTGTTACAAATTATGTTCATATACCGGATTCGAGCCAGTTCTTGCTCTCGAAAATCACGGAATCGCCTGTGGATTTTTTCCCATTTACGTAATCAAGGTTACACCAATTTTGTTCTCTGTGAGATAATTTGCAACGTTTTGAATCTATGATAAATGAATTTGTTTTTATTTTCGCAAACTTAGGGATTAACTTAGGGATTATAGGGATTAAGCAAAATATTCATGAGACCAGGAAAATAAAAAATATTTTAACAATTTTAAAATGAGAAATGTGTTAATTTTATAGTCATGCTGTACTCATGCCTATTAAAAAAAAAATAAAGTTTTATTTAATTAATTTTTTGAGAATTTTTTTTAAATATAAAATTAAGTTTTCTTTGTCAAATAAACATTTCTTTTTTGAACTAAATATTTTTGTTTCCTATTTTTTCGCAAGCCATATTTGTGATAACAACAAAAAATTCTTATCTGAAGGTCAAAGCCGTCCGCACGAGCGATAAATTGTGCGTCTTTTTCCACTCGTTAGACATAAACAGATCCCTTGAAGGCAGCTTAAGAGCTTATTTTGCATTGGGAACAAGCCGCAAAGCCGCGAGAAATGGCGAGCCGCAAGCAAACAATGCCTCGTAATCCTCCGTCCTGAGATTGCAGCGCAGGTTCGCAGAAAACGAAGAAATTTTCCGCAGCCTGATTTGCATAAATCAGTGAAAGCAAGCAAAGTATATAAAATGGACAGACGCATTCTTCTCGCATTTCATACATATTATACAGAAAAGGCTAATTATCGCGAGCGTGCACTTTCTATAGCGGTGCGTTTGATTGATCAGCAGGCGACAGACAAGTATAGAGAGAATGGAGCCGCAGACTGCACAAGTAGAGATGCAAAAAAAAAACACGCGTAGAAGTAATAAAAGACTCAAAGAAGCATTCTGATGTTAAGTTTCTAATTGGGATTCTGGCGTGAAAAAAATACTTCAGGGGAAATTGCAGATTGATATTGTTTTTTCTTAATTAGTTGTTAAGTGGAAATGGCAAAAACACACGGCGCAGAAGTCAGTATGTACTCTGCCCAAAACTAAGTACATAGTCAAAAGTCAAAACCATTTACAACTAACAATAAGAATAAATTGTATAAATTTGAATATATTTTCAAAATTATTCTAATATAAATATAAATAAATTGTTATAGAAAAGCTATTGTTAATTTAATAAAAACAATTCTGCAAATAATTATTAATTTACTTAAATTTATATTATTCAATTTACGAGATTTTTTTTTAATAAACTGATATAACTGGTAATCCAGATTCACAATAAGACTTACAAAAAAAGTAATTAAATATCTTGAGGTAAAATTTGAAACTAAACAAAAATTTAAAAATCATTTAAATGGTCGAGTCTTATAGTTTAAGATTTAACTATTTACCTCTCATTGCTACTTATTTAATACACATATATCCTGATATTCAGTCTTACTACTAAATTTACTTTCACTAAATGCAATTGAATATGAATGCGCTTAAGCATTTTTACTTTTTAAAGAATTAACCTCTTATACGAAAGGCAATTTCTTCTTGATATCGTAGAGAAGAGACAAAGTCATGAGCTGCAACAATTTATGCGCACTTGATCGATTAGTCGCGACAGGAGGCGTGCAGCAGTAAATCAACTCGCCGCTTAATTCCAATCATCGGCAAAGCCGCTTGTAAGCAAATATGATAATATTTCAACTTTTACTTTTACTGCAAGCGAGGAGGATATGTGTAGTCTGCCTGTCACTCTATATATTACAGGCTCACGAGCGGGCAAACGTTTACCTTTATTAATACAATTATACCGCGAGAGGCGCCGGCAATTTCACTTTTGTCTCCGCCGAGATATGATAATTGGCGCGAGCGTTGATTGCGTTAGACTTAAAATTGCACTGCGATCCGCACTTGTTTGCATTTAATCAACCTTTCAAATGCAAATTTAATGGATGTGGAATATTCATGCACTATCAATGTCTAGATAATTGACTAAGAATAAGAACGCAAGAAGTGTCGCTGATTACTTCAAGGTGTATAATAGACCGACAAGAATAAATAATAATTCAATTCAGTGTGATGAACTCCATTGAGACTAATCGTTGGCAAATAGTTGAATTGCTCTAGATCAATGTCTAGATAATTGACTTAAATAATTAATAATGCAAGAAATGTCGCTGATTACCTCAAGGTGTGATGAACTCTAATGAGGCTAATCGTTGGCAAATATTTGCTTTGCAAATGCACCATACGTTATGGTAAATAATTATAATAAATTATTCATTTTATTGTCCCGACCCTACTCCTCTCTATCTTTATAAATTACACGTGTGAATTACAGAAAGAGAATTTGAATAAACCAATAATAAATTACAAATAATTTGTCAATTTTAGATACACATTATTTAATTTTTTGAATTATTTGTTACGCGAAATTAGTAGATTTTATTGAGTAATTATACTAAAAATCACACAGAATAATCGTAAATTAGAGCTTTGCTGACATGCAGCTATTTTAATTGAAAATATTACGAGGAGTTAATTTCTTGGAGCTTCTTACCATAATAATAATTCTTGATTGCAAATCGAGCTTTTAATATATTTTTTATTCACGTCTCTCAGCAAAGTTGCTCCTATAACGGTTCAGAGGAGAGTGCGTCTCTGACTTGACAAACACATAAAATTAATTTCCGCAATTATCAAATGCAAACATAAACTCTTAGCGGTGGTAAATATGGCAAAAAACGGATCTCTCACGTCTTCTCCACAAAGTAGATAACGGATCAATTCTCACTTCACAAACATATCAAAGCATGTTTGCTTGTGCTAAATAATTTGATATAAAATCGTGTACGCGTTTATGAGAGAAAACAAACAATGCACTCAATTAATTATGATAATTGCAGCTACGTTGAGGACGGAATTCTCCACATTGTGCCCACATTGACCGCTGATGAGTATGGCGAGGAATTTCTCTACAATGGGACGCTTTCCTATCCAGGCTGCAACCAGAAACCGTGCGAATCGTAAGCATATATTATTCGTGGTCAAGAGAAATTTGTTTAAGTTTAATTTCTCCAGAACTTCCAGCCCGGACATTGTTTTGCCAATTCAGTCGGCTCGGATCCGCACGCAAAAGTCGTTCGGTTTCCGGTACGGAAGAGTTGAGGTGCGAGCGAAACTTCCGCAAGGCGATTGGCTGTGGCCTGGTGCGTATACCTCTCAAAATTGGTCTAATTAATCATCTATAATTTAAAATCGCACGCAGCTATTTGGATGAAGCCAGTCGAAAATTACTACGGCTGGTGGCCGTCGTCAGGAGAAATTGACTTGGTTGAGGCGCGAGGAAACAAACGGCTGTTCAACTCGAAAGGAGTTTCTGTTGGAGTGGACAGGATGGGTTCGACTCTGCACTATGGCCCAAACGCTACTTACAACACCTGGAGACCAACCCATTGGGAAATGTATAAAAAATTAAAATTTATAATATTTTTTTATATAATTTTACAAGAATACTTCCTTTTTTAGTTAATTTGTATTATGATAATATAAATTTTATTTTAAATAGTTAAATTATTATAATATTAACTACTTGTTTACATATTTAAAATTATTTAATTATAATTTTTATCTCAGCATAAATATCATTTATTCATTTTTTTTTTTGAGTTGGTAAATTAGTTAAGTTATAAATATAATTTTTCTCCGTGCATTTCACTAGCATTTTAGTTAATTAAATTGATTTATACGAGTATGGCATTTATGTGCCGCTTTTAAACTAATATAAAAGATTATTGACATAAATATCCATGAAATTAGCAATATACTTAAGGAAATTAATTATTATTTACTATATTCGAAGGACCCTCGAAGGAAGCGGTCGGGATTTTTCAGACGACTTCCACTTGTTTGGAATGGAATGGACAAGAAACTCAATTACTTTTACTGTGGACGATGAAATTATTGGAAGTGTCACGCCACCCTCAGGCGGTTTCTGGGCTATTGGCGGATTTGACAAAGACCCTGGCGGCCGCAACATTTGGGAGAACGGTGAATACCTGGCGCCCTTTGACCGAGAGTTCTTCTTCGTCCTGAACGTGGCCGTCGGTGGCACATTCTTCCCCGAAAACTTCAAGAACGAGGCCTATCCCCGACCGTGGTATTTGAGCTCGAAGCACCCAATGAGAGATTTCTGGGAGCGACGAAAGCTGTGGTACCCAACCTGGGATCCCAAAGATTCGGCACTCAGGGTTGATTATATCAGGGTTTACAAGTGGATCAATGGAGAGTAAAAGAAACTAAATTTACCAGAGATTTATGCAGTTGAAATGAAATCTTGATTCGTTTAAAGGCATCAAACCGGCAGGTAATTGAAACATATGCAACCTGCCTGGCAAATCTGATCCACTGGTTGCATAACATACAGCACGGTGCTAGACAAAAGTACAAGTTTAGTAGTGCCTTCCATTTAGCAATTAGAATTTTAATAATTTTATATGACTTTAAATTATGTATTATATTATATTGTTTTTCTTCATTTTTATTACATGTTTAAAAAATTTCACGTTACTAAGGGATGAAAAGCAGATTGATTTTTGCAAGTTCTAGTCACAAGTTTTAATTTTGAAATTTCAAAATATGCTTATTTTTTTGTTGTGAATTTGTTTGTGTTTATATTTTTAATAAACTCGTATTTTTGCAAAAATAAAAAAATCTAGTGCATAGTTTATATTTTCATACATTTAATAATCAATTTAGCAGCTCAATCATACTTTCCACGCCCATTTGGATTTGGTGCACAGATTTGCACGTGTTTCCGCTTAAAATAACGCCAGCAAAGAGCCAAATTTTTGCAAAATTGCTTCCATCATAATACAGACTGGCCACACGTAGATTGAGCCCTCATTCAAATTACGAGCTTGTTTTTAAACAGGCAGTTTGAAAAGTGGAGCGATTATTGGCTGGTGACTGGATGTGCCGCTTGCGGAGTTGGTTTGCCTGCCATTGTCGATGCTCGGAGAGATTGGTCGGTTCACGCCAGAATACGGTCTCGGGCATAGCTGGGGCGAATGAACGCGAGTCGTTGTGCCCGGACTTCATGGGCCGTTAGGAGGTTGCTACGAGCGGCACTGGTACCAACCGCGGGCGAAATCACCGCTCCGATGAACACCGCCATTAGGCTGGAGAACGGAAGCGCGGCTCGCGGACGACCTACGGGCTAACCTCCATTTTGGACAAACTTAAATTTCAGTCAAACTGCAAACCCTCTATAACAAGTTTATAAAATTTCAAGCAGATTTATGTACAAAAATTTTTAGATTTTTGTTCAATTAATTGGATCATCAAAGGTTGATGAACTTTAAAGATGAAGAATCCTAATTAGGCTTTGCATGCTGATTGCCGATCTTGGGCCGTTTGAGATTCTGCGAACGCCTTGATTTTGTGCCAGAGTTTGAACTTTGTACGGTCTTAAATGCAGAAACGCGCTTGTCGGCCGCCTTAAAGTTGGATAGGTTGGCAGCGGATGGGCTTCGAAGGCAGAGTGCATGGATTAAGGCAGGAAGATGGCGGCCCTTAAGCTGATCCTCTGCGGCCCCCGAGCACTAACACCTAAGCCGCCAAGGCCGGGGAGCTAAGCAGGTCCTGCGAGCAGCTCAAACTGGCGAACACCGTGCCAGGCGTGCAGGAATCGGTAGGAGGTGCGCAAGACCGCGCGATCGCGACCCGCGAGAGCGCGGCTCGACATGCGCCGAGGCGGCCCCCGCTCCACGGTGGCCATTGGCTTCAGCAATCTCTCAATGGGAGGTTAGAACGCGCTTCATTGCCAGAGATTCCAACTTATGAAGATAGGAAGGTCTGACACGTCCATGCTAAAATTTACCATATTAAAATTTAAAATAAATTGAGGACCTATATTAAACACTATTTCTAGTAAGACGTCCTTGAGGAAGTGGGAAATTCCTGCTTCAACATTTTTTTCAATCATTCAATAAGTCCCATTTCCAACTTCTGTGTTTTTTTTCGCGGAATTTGTTTTTATTTCAACCTGACTTAAAAAATTTTACTTAAGCTTTGTTGAACAATATAAGACTTAAACAACTTTTAGAACTGAGATGATAAGAGCTGATAATATTACTTATGAAATTTCAAGTGCTTTTAAGCGTTATGCTTAGTTCAAATGTTTTGTTTAATTATTCTATTTACTGAAAATAAAAGGAAAACTTAATAATGCTTGAAAGCCACGATGAAAGTTAATTTTTCACATATTACCTAAAATTTTTTAACTGCAAATTTAACTCATCGTCAAGTTCCATCATACGCATACTTGTGGCATAAAAGATTGCCTTAATTAAATGAATAACTCTTTTTGCAAAAAAATTGTTGAAGGCTCAAGATAATTTAATAATTTCAATTGTGTAGGTCAATTAGGGTGCAAAAAAAGCATTTCCAATAAATCAAAATTACGATGCTTTAACCTCTTGTTTCACACTTATCGCATATACGTAAAGCATTATATTTGACAAGCGACTTCATCTTTATTTTGTGGTCAATTAGGTGGAAAATAAGGTACAAACTTTATAAAAAAAAGGCGAGGGAATAATTTATAATTAAAATTTCATCGATAATTTTCCAACCCGGAATTTTGAGAATCGCCATATCGATTGCGCACCGCCTGAAATCATCTATTTTTACCGTCAAAGGGGATAATAATCGATATCGGATTTCGGTTAAACAGGCCACTAACCAGAAAACCGGCGCTCATTAACACGTCGAACTTTAAGGGGCAGCGTCATAATTTGAATAGGTGCATACGCGTTGTTGCTTTGGCAAAATTACGAGGCTGAAGATTGAAATCAATGTCGAAACGAACGCCGTCCCGCAGCGATATGCCCACAACGTTGCGTCAGCAGGAGTATCGCCAAGAACAGGATTTCAGGAACTCGCAGGAGGTCCAGCGGCGTGCGCAACGTAACCGACCGCCGATTGAGCGCATGTTGCTAACAAAGAGCGACCATACTAGAATTCCATGTTGAACGCAAACAGCTCGCAGGATATCTCGTTTTGAGCACAAAAATGGTGTGTTGAAAACATTATATAGGGCTTTAATTAGTGCTTTATAGATCTATTTTCATTTGAAATATTCAATTTTGAATAGAATTTAACCTTTTACTTATTTGGAACAATTTCATCATCAAATTAATATAAAAATTGGAAAAAAACTTCCATGAAAGTATAGTATCTAAATGGTTTAAGTTCAACATTCTGTTTCATGCGTTTTCAAACAATATAGAGCACTTCAAAATATTTCTAGTTCCTAGTTTTGTGTAATTCTGATGCCTTTTGCTATCAATAATTTTCTTGAGCCATTGTAAAAAGTATATACACCCACGTATCTGAAAAATGTTACTAAACTTTAATCTTGGAGAACTGTTGCTTTATAACAATTAGTTGTCAATATCAATTTAAGTTTTTGTTCCAATACCCGTGTCCCACCGAGTCCTATCCATCATTGATATTTTTCTTGCCAAATTTAGGGATGAAATTCGTATTAACTGATGGCAGGGGAGAACTTCTCTCGCTTATTGTTAGCATATCAAAGGAGCGCCATGCTATGAGGAAAGAAGTTCTCCCCTCCTGCGCAAGCAACACATAAAATACACACGCACGAAGCAGAAATAGTATAGTAGTCTCCCCTTGGCTTTTTATCAAATGACCACTGTCCACGCATCCACAGGCTTCCCCCTATTCAACACGAGCAGCCAACATCGATTCAGAGTAATGCGGTCTGCAGCGCGATAGAGAATGGATGTCGAAGAAATTTTGGCACATTCAAAAATTTTAATCGATTCCTGGTTGAATTATGCTGCATAAATAATGGTTCAATTAAAAAAAAGTCAATATATATGCCCCGGCTTATGGATGGTAAACAAGAGAACGCTAAATTTGCCACAAGTTCTAGAACTTAGAACAAAAACAAACTCATTTTAAAATCACACGGTGGTACATCCCATCGCGAGATCGTTCGCGATGTTGCATATCTCTCGCCAACAAAACGCTTGGTACGGACTCCCAAGTCGGTTTTTCTGAACCGGCTCTCAGGAAAAACTAGGGGGTCGCAACTCGTCAACCGGAGGAGTATCAAAGGCAAACTCCGCCCATGACACGCAGTTGTCGGTCGGTCTGGATGGGTACCAGCAAAAAACACACGCCGCCTGCAGACCATGCTGCAGCTGTGGCTCGAGTGCGCAGCAAATAGTCTACTTAACAGGCATTCGCCGCCAATCTCCACGTCGCGCAAGCTTTTGAAGGACGAATGCTACTTTTTGCGGGAAATTTCCTTGGCAACTGGTTTCGCACGCGCCTTCCCAACAATCTTGGTTAAAATAAGAATCTTAATTGACTTTTTATGAAACTACTTCAGAAAAATTTCCGATACTTTTCCCTCATTTATGGACAGACTAACAAATAAAATTATTAGTGAGAGAATCTCTCTAAGGTATGTGTACTTGAAAAGTACCTTACACCCTTAACAAGGGGTAAAAAAACTGGAGTCGTATTGACACAATTTAAAGCTAAACTTTGGAATGAATTTACTTTCTAAAACTTTGGTTTCACAACATAAATTAGGTTTGAACGCGAAAAATACAATGTTAAATAAAATTTCTAAAAAAATTAAATAGATGGCACCAACCAGCAAATATTATTGTGGACACCAAAACATACACTAGCTTCACGCACTTCACCTAAATTGATTGAATGTATGCAATGCAGTGTTTATATAATCACTCATGGACACTAATACTTTCTATATTTAATCAATAGAGCACAAAAAATTCTTCCAAAACCCGCACAATTAATGCATATGTAATGTTGTGCAATATAAATATAGAACTGTTGACATAGTTCTGATTTGGGGCATTTGGACTTATACTGTACCATAAAATCGCATATAAGAGGGAATTTACCAGTCATACTCCACAATTGCTTTGTTCCAACATGATTACAAATGGAATAAATACGGTCATGCTACACACCGGTCCGCGATAGATCACCAAATTTAAGCAACTTACAGCAAGTAAAGGCTGTTCTTTGGGATAGGTGACCGCCTTGAGATTTGTCTACGTAACCCGCTAAATGTAAGTTTCTACCTTTCGGGCATGTGTGAAATAAGACTTCACGCAGGGCAGATGACTATAACGATTTTATTATAAAGCTCCTCACTCAGTGGGAAGTCAAACGTGGAGTGCACACAGTCAGAGCTGCAATGGGCTACGAAGTAGCTCAGGTTTACCTATGTTATCTGCTAGCCAGCGTTATTTTCACCTCGAATTTTACGTTAGCAAAATCTGCGAGCTTTGATTGCCCTTTCTAGCCCTGGGGATAATAGAGTAAAGGTGATAAATGGCTGTGATATAAATATCAATAGCTTCAAATTCATAATTTCAAATTTACTTTGGAAAAGTTATCGAATTTCATGAAATGAATTCAAGCATATTCATAATAACAAACAAAGATCGCCTACTTAAAAAAAAATGGTTATCAGCACAATCATTGTGAACATTCAAGATTTAAAACCCCCTCGTCGAAGTACGGCGCGTGGTTGTATGGAGGGGACCTAACAGAGGGAGCACACACTCAGCCTCAGTGAGAGCCGTGGTCGCTCTCGTTGCGTGCGTGCCGCAAGCTCCCTGCGATCTCATGCGAGCCTGGCACTGAGCCGCACTTGGTTATGAATTATGAGTCGCATTCTTGGTAACATCTGGTTAACTTCCACGCGCCGAACCGCAATCAATTCCCGATTTTCCGCAGATTTTCAATCACAAGTGCCTCGGGTGTGCGCCTGCTTTGTGTCCGAACACATGCCCTACAATTTAAGGGTAAGATGGAGCCGTATTTTGCGAATTCTGGCCGATTTTTAGAGTAAAACGTGAGGAGGGCGCCAAAAATATCGCCATTCGGCATGTTTAATCACAAAAAGTGGCCACCCGTTTTCAGAAATCACGCGTTTTGAGCCGCAAGACCGGTTCGGTGGGCCGCCTGGGGCACCGGGATCCCTGGGGCCCCAACCAAGGGATCATCTGCGTGAGTCTTCGGGTTTCAGAATCGATCGACTCGCGGCCGAATCGATGGATATGCGTGGCGAAGGCCTGGTGAAAATTAGTTTCCACCATTTTAATGGCTAGATTGCCGTCAATAAGCGGTTGTTACTCGTCAAATAAAAGCTCCCGGGAGCGGGACTTCATGCGGCGCGCGGAGGTCGGCTCGGCAATATATGCTAGCAATATAGAGCCGGGCACCCCCTATAAAAGCATGCGCGCCTGTTCACAAGACCGCCAAATATTCGTGGAGGAAGGATCGGGCAGTCGCGCGTACAAGGCTATCCGCCGCGACTGCGCTCTCTACGAGAGGCCGGCGCATTTGCGCTCACTTGCAACGTACATTACACCGCCTACCTGCACTAAATGCACTGCGCTTTTCACATCAACCAAAGAAGCAAAGAATTGCTAATGGACAGACATTGATAATTAAATTAAAACTTCGTTTTTGCGGTTTAAAATGACGGCGAAACTGAGAAAAGTAACTAGGAAATAAAATAAAGGTTGAAAAACTAATAAGGAATATATTTCTTTTGCCTCGTTATTGTTAGAGAAGATAAAGTATTATTACACAAAATTATTTGAATATTGTAAAATTAAAAATCATCAATTTAACATTTAACATTTAATACTACTTTAAGAATGTAATTTTATTTCGTTTTTTTTTATAATTTTCATTTATTCTTAATAATTAATAAATTATTTTTTTAAATTTATAAAATATTAACATGTACAATACAAGTATTATTACATAGCTGTTATATAAAATATTTCTGAAATATAACTAATTTATTTTTAAATATTATCCACGGTTTTCAGCATATTATTTATTTCTGTTGTAAAATTTATTTTTCAAATTTTGACAAGAGGGAGTTCATTCTTTTGCATTCAAAAAGTAAATACTTCAATAAAATATTATTGTATTTTATGAGGAAATTTAAAAATCTTGCAAATTCTAACCAATTTTATGTTAATTTGTAATATATGGAAAATAATTCATTTAATTGTTAGGAATATTAAAATATTCACTTATCTGGAGGTTTATCGTCATATTGATAAAGTCTAGGCTGCACCTTAACCACCTAATTTAATTTTTTTATTTTTTCAACAAATTAAACTGAACTTTTTGTAGATCGTGGTGGTTTATAATGATTGCTGATATTCCAGCAGCCTCCTATTTTTTTATGGGCAATGTATAAAGCAAAACAATTAAGCAAGGGCAACTTGCTTTTGCTTAGGTGGACAGCACTTTTTACATACATGGGTGTGGTCCGATCCAGCCACCCTCGCAGGGCGGCGCGTTTTTATTTTTTGCTCGCAGTAACTGAACTCTCTGTGCCCACTTGAAAATGCTAATAGGTTAATTTTTATTGGATTAAAATGCATTGGAATTTTTTAAGTATTATAAAAGACGTGGCAATTGTTTGACATAAGTACATGTAATTATTTCTTTAATAGGAATCGAGTTTTAACGATTTCGCAAATAATTTCCTTGTATGCAAATACTTAATGTATTCCGTCATTGAATCTCAAAGTTGTTGCAGCTAGTCTCGCACATTATTTAAATGGCAATTATATGAGCGCATGCATTCAAGCTGAGCAATGACTTAATCTTTAAAGGATTGCAAGAAAGAGCAAATCTGTGATGTCACCCTAATAATTTATTAACGATCATTTATTTACGTTCGCCTTGGAATTGGCAACAACAGTTTTTATTTGCTATTGCGCGTCGAAGTTCGTTCCACTAAACACTCCAGTCAAGCGTACAAAAGTCAAAAAGTCCGAGTTATTTTCGACCTTCCCAAGCAGTCTTCCTTGTTTGTCATTTGCGCAATCTTCAATTAATTTTATAGCATGACGTAAAAAAATTATACAAATTTACCAGCTACCGGAGAGCTCTCTGGTTTCTTTCCATCCCACGCTTGGACAAATAAATTGTTACTTTGGATAATTTCTTACAAGCAGATTTTGTCTTAAATTCACATTTATTATTCATAAATAATTGGAATTTACGGCCGTGCACATTCTCGGTGGGCCTACGCAGGTTGATATTGGTTTGCTCGATCGCGCTGCATATTTTCCTTGTCAGCGCCGTAAAATGTGCGGGCAATGCCAATTAATTCTCCGAGAGATCGAGTGCACGGCATGCTGAGTTTTCGCTTCTCGGCCAGAGAATAAAATAACATAAATGTTTAATGCGGTCGATTTAGTAAATCACGTTTTCTGAGGCATTCAACCCTCCTCTCAAGTGCAGCACTCTCCAGATGCAATAATATGCAAGTGGACGAAGGTCATTAGTTAAGAATAAATTAGCATCTGTAGAATACGCCAAGACCTATGGTATATGACCAGGGTACTTACAGATCATATCGCCGCGCGGCAGCTAACGACACGAAAAGCTGAATCCACCCATTTGCAGTTTGTCTGAAAATATACAAAAGAAAAGAAAGATGTATTATTTTTTATTTAAATTTTATAGAATGTTAAAAAATTATGGAAAATATTTTTATGTAAAATGGGCAAAAATATTTAAAAATGAAAAAATTATTTAGAGAAATTTATTATATTTATTAATTAAAATCTATTAAAAATTAAAATTTCATTCATTAATTTAGTGAATTTTTGTAATGCTTATGCAAGTCTCTGTAAATTAAATCTTCAATTTACTTTATTCAAGGTTTATTGCTTATTATTTAAGCAAATAATTTGTTTAATTATAAGTGGCATCGTCATTGCTTGCGAGACAAAAGGCTGTACTGTCGCTGCTGCGCATTTTACGATGGGAAAGGACAAGACATTTAGTTTGTGCTGAATTGACGGACCTTGCCCCCAGGTCTGCATGAGATGATCAAAGGAGACGCGCTTGATTTTAATTTACGCACAAACACACAAGCTCTTGACGGTGGATTGAGTCATTTGCATAGGACGGGTAAGAATAAGACGATTCTGAGGATGATCTCATCATATTTCTCTTTTGATTGGCCAATCTTTGATATCGCGAGAGTTTGATTAATCGTAGCCGGTAATTTGACAAGCAATATTAAATGCAATTTTGATTATAATAATCCACTTTTCTAAAAATTTAAAATAAAGAGACACAAAAATTATTATTATTTTTGTTATTTAGTTTCTGTCAGAGCTCAGAGCAAATGCAATTAATTTAAAAATCAAGTTGTTATCATAGTCTGCATCAATTAAATTTTTGCAATCCAGCCATCGAAGATACATTTTTTTTCCTATCAGCCGATCAGTTGATTGATGATTATGGAGTCTGTTTGCTTTGTGTTGTACACATTGTCGCCTTCCAAATAAGGATGCTGCTGGCAAACATAAACAAAATTTCATCCGAGATACACGCAGCACTAAAAATAGGCATGATGCAGCGCTTCATACCAAAGTCTCGTTGCAGACGGATTTTTTCCTGATAATATTTTTTGTGCAGAGTCTCCAGACGACCCTTTCAACTCGCTCGGAAGCCATAAAAGACGCACAATGAAAATAGTACTTGATGGTCGTAACAATCAGCAAACGTCAAAATAAATTATATTATTTTTCAAACACAATACTCATTATTTTCACACTCGGCGGCACTGATTGTGAGATGCATGTGCAAAAAAATGTCTTTGTGAGTTTCAATATGGAGGGAGATCAAGGTTTGTAATTTTCCAACATAAATAATTAGCAATTAATGAAAAGTGCAATTTGAAAAATTTTGTTTCAAAGATTGATGAAAAATAGTTTTATTAGCATTTTAATATCTTGCATACCTACTTTTAATTCAATCTCAAAATAATAAATTGATGGGGGATGCTGAATTCATAAGCTAAGTTAGCATGTGAATATTCCGCCCTATCAATTTCAAAAATAAATTATTGTTATCAAGTTAATTAAAGAGAAAAATTAATTACTTAAATACCTAAAAGATATCTATGCAATTTTTAAGATGGAGGGAGAACAAGGTTTATAATTATCCAAAAAATTAGCAAATAAGAAAAAAATACAATTCGCAACAAGTTGTTTCAATTTCAATCAGAAATTTAAATTTAATACTTAAATTTTGTTATTGGAAAAGAAATCGATAGTTATAATATTAATTTCATTTATTGACAGTTAATTATAAAGTTAAAAATTCACTGAAATGACTTTCCGCTCCATTGAATATTAACACACGAGATTTTGAGATTTGAACAGCAAAAATCTCTACGGTTGGGGAAGAAAACATAAATTTTGTCGACGTATATCTCTTAAGTAATTGAACTCTCATCAAGATATTAGTGTGGTTGCTTTTATAAATTGCGTTTTCAGAGGTCGGCACGCCGTTGTCCTGTGGGTGGACAGGTTTGAGTGGGTGACACTCCGTCTAAGGCTCTGTGTAAAGGCGGACCTGGACTTTGTTAATGTGTTATATGAGAGTTCTGTCCGATGAATCGGTGCCTTGTCGCCGACGCGCGCTGCGAAAAGTCGCTGCGGCCATCAAGAGTTGAGCGAACTGCTCCTGACTGTGCGTTAGTCTTCACATAAGATCTCTTCTTAATTAAACCAAGAAGAACACTAAGAACTTTAATTGCTTAGTGATTAAAGGACGGTACTATTTGAAGGAGGAAAAATTAGTTGTCCTTCATCAATTTAATCGTAAAAATTTTATGATAAATTCAATAATGTAGAATGCAATGTTGTTATGTAATATGCAAATGTTACAGAATGCGACGCACATTCAACGCTCACCACTGCTCTTCATCCTTAGAATCATTTGCATTTTGAAACTTTATTGATGTTTATTTTTGCCCTGTTACGTAATAAATATGAGTGTTAATAAATAAATACTTGGCGGTTATTGAAATATAGCCCTACTGTGACCTGATCTCTTGACCAGAAGCTCTTGGTCACCATGTATATTTTCAAAAATATCCTTGTCGACGGTTTAATAGAACCTCCATGCAAGAGGGGTTTGACTTTTAATGACTTTTTAGGATTTTGTTTTACAGGATGCATAATATAATCTTTTTTTGTTGTCATTTTTTTTTATCAAAAAATATGGAAAAATTCAAACTCAAAATTTTGCGAGTTGAATTACTTAATTAATTTTAAAGTCAAGTTGTAATTATTATAGTTTTTTTTAATGAAATTAATTATGGTAAGAATGCTTTGCGCGTGTGCAAAATTAAGTCGGTAATGAGCTCATTCGCTCCGCCCTTCAATTAGAGTCGATGCAAATAAAGGCTCAATTAAAACGCACTTAAAGCGGGGGCAAAAAACGCTCTTTCTCGGCTGAGCATGTAAGAAAGCGCTCGAGTGGGCGTCGGACGACGACTCTGCTGCATGCCGCGGCGTGTCATAGGTTACAGAACGAAAGCAAAAGTGCATGCAAGCAGCATCCAATGTGGGCTCACATAAATTACGCCCGGTCGGGCACGGAGATAATTATTCCGAGACAAGCTGCGCGCATGAAACAAGAGACAATGGTCAGCGGCGCGTCGAGATTGTGCTTTATTTTATTGCCCGGACGCCAAGCGACTCTCGCTCTTTATCTGCAGCAGCCCTGCTCGGATGCACTCCCACGCGGGTCTCGTGTGCATTACGGAGCTGGCGAATATAAATGCATTCCATTTTTTCCTTTGCAGGCGTGAGACGTACGTTGGTAGCAAGTCAGGAGTCCTTGGCCTCGCTGCAATAGTTCACGAGCGCATTGTTCAGGAGCGGTATATCAAGGACACGATGAAAAAAACCAATCAATTTGAAGCCAAAATAAAAATTGCAGCAATTAACTAAAGATTTGTATTAGAAAAATTGTGAATTATAATATACTTTTTTATGCATTTATAATAAAAGTGGCTGATATTAAACTTTTTGAACATTAATTAAAATTATAAAATTAATTACGTTTTCTGAATAAACTGATATATTTTTTGTTTATTTAATATTATAATTGAATTTATCATAATTTAATTTAGGAAACTACCTTAAAAGGTTGTAATTTTTATTTAAAAATATTTCAAATTAATATTAATGTATTAAATTACAGGACATGAATGTTGTGATAGTTGAAGAATCAAAAATGAAAATTTTCGTTCTCATTCATTTACTTGGTGATTATTTTTTTTTAAATTTATAATATGAACTATTTTACAGAGAGCGTTTTAAATTTGCACAAGAATAATAAAAAGATCAAGCTTTAAAACAGGGACAAGCTTAATGTGAGCTTTACAAAACATAATCTGCAAAATGATAATAATGCACAAAACTACATAAAAATTTGTGGGTGAGACAGACATATTTTTAAATTTTAACCTGTATTTTAATATGAATTATTTTATATATATTTTTTTTATAGTTTTTAAAGCGATCTGCTTGTTTTTCTGCTTTTTTTAATTCGGATGAACATGTGCGACTGGGCAGCCGACCTTCTACACCCTCGCAGACCTCCCAGACAGTTGCTGGCCGCTGTGATTTATGCCACCCTCTTAGTTATTGTATACGCAATAAATTAGAAGCAGCTATGTGTGGACAACTTGAAGTTGGATGCCATATTTTGTGCTGTTTTTTTTTTTTGTAATAAATTAAATGATTTACGAGGTGACTCCGCATGACAGGTACTAATTTGGCGCCACCATCTCTCTCTAATATCATCAAAAGACACCGCAGGAGAAATAAAAAATAAAATCAATTTTTTCCCTGCTTTTGCTTTTCTCACGTGTCGTTGAATTTTCAGTCGAATTTATTTCCAACAATAAGAAGATAACAAGGCGCACGTTTTCTCGCTGACCGTCCCTTTCTTGCCGGTCGATTCGTTGGCAATTGACAGGTTGAAATTCGCGTCAAGGCAGGCGGTGATAATGTGATTAAAGGCTGCAAAAGAAGGATGCTGCAAACAACGGACGGCCAGCCAATAATGGGGATCATCGCCTTGACCCTTGTCTGCACACGTTTGTCTGCACGACCCATTCGCTGCAACACCTAACCACATAAAAGAGAGTGAAAGTGATTTGGAAGATGCGCGCACAGCACGAGGATGTGCGACTGAAAAGCTTCGCTGATTGATTTTGAGATCCTCTGCGAAATCCATCAAGTGATGCACCGCCAATGCCAAATCTCAACAACAAAAGATCGTTTAAGCCCCACAATTAATTTTTGTTGTGCTCCTTGAAAGCCATCATTAGCGTTCTTTTTTCATTGGTTATTTCAAAAGGCACATTTTTGCAGCTAAATTACCTACAGATAATTTTGATTAAATTTTGCTATCCGTATTTAAAAATGTTTGTGAATAGTTTATTAATCCATTATAAAAAGCATAATATTATCCATTGTTTAGCAACATTTAGCTATAAGATTATGTGAATTACATAATAGACAAATTGAATAAAACCATAGAATGAAAGTTAAATTATTTTCAGGGGGTTTGGGTATTGTTTTGAAAAGGTTTCTTAATGATTGTAATCAAAAACGCCTCTTCTCTTTCAGGCGTCGGTTCGCGAGGGTTTTGTTTTGCCCTATCGTGTGCGAAACAATGAAAAATGAGGAAAACAGAAGTTCCGAGAATCGGCCGCCGTCTGAAGCCGAAGGAGCGCAAGGGTCACAAGCAGAGCGAAAAGGTCGCCAGCCGTGGGCGTGCTCTGCAGCAATAAAGCTCAAGTGGGAGCCAAGAGTGCGGTGCATTTATTAACACCGGTGCCATATTCGGCGGTCTATAAATCAAACCGCAATTTTATGCTCTCGCATTTTTCTTTTTCCTTAAAACATGCGTTTTGGTCTATATTAAATAAAATAAAAACATCATAAATATAGAACATTATGAAAAATTAGCATGATGCGTTTATGGAAATCTTGTGACGTTAAAAATTCGCCAAGAGCAAAAATACTATTCCTGGAACATCTTCATTATTTTAAACCCTCTTATCTCTTAAAATATATTTTGTAAATATTTTTTTGTAAATTATACAGCTCCCAAGACCCATCTATTCATTACAATTGTGAAATATAAAATACTTAAAAAAGCACAGCAAAGGTAATGGAAAGTTAAAATATGTAGTGTTTTATATTGTTTTAATTGTAATTTAACGTTCCTAAGTAAGCAATGACATACATATATGAGAAAAAAATCTATACATACTCAAATTTAAAGTAAAATTTCGTCAAACGCATACATATATTATGCGCTAAATTTAATTTTTAATTTTCTGAATGCATATAATAAAATATACTAGAATTAAATTAATTCGCTTCTGCTGTCCGTTTTTTTTTAATGATTTCCATAAATTTTATGATACAGGATGTGGGTCTGTTTCTACGAAAATTTCCCTCTCGTTGATCATAGGCGTCATTCATTACTCAGTCAGCCAACTTTTCATATAAAGCACGATTGTGCACGATAAAGCATTGTGCGTCTCGCCATTCACATTCAGCTGCCGGCACGTTATTATACAAACTCATTGTTTTGCCTGGCCTATTAGAGTATGTGACATGCATTTCGTAAATCAACAGGCGGTATGGTTTTCATGTCAGTACTGCGCCCGCGGAAAAAGCGGCAGAGTGAATAAATTTACGTTAATTTCTGCAAGAGTGAGGACAAATCATTTTTGCTGCAGCAGGCAAGAAAAATATCACTTTCGCTCAAGTGCAGCCTTAAGGATAAATAATTAAATAATTGTCTCTTGCTTAATGTGAAAAAAAAATGTCAGCAGAGAAGAATATTAATTTAATCACGTGAGAGAAAAAAAAGAAACTGTCATTGAAACGGTAAAATACTCTGCAACTTTTGCTGAAAGTTTAAATTTGCTGACATGCTTAAATTCATTCAAAGTTATTCTTGCGTTATTATATAATAATTTTCATTATTTAAATACTAAATAAAGAGTGCCGTTATATCACACATGGCATTTCATTGCGCAAGAGAAAATATTTAACTTAAGTTTAGGAAAAAAATTCAAGGATGTAGCAATCTCTTTACATTGCATTAGTTAAGAAAAATATTGCCAAAATAATTTTTACATCTTAAGTTAAAACAAGTTTTACGTCAAGTTATGGACTGTATAAGATTCGCTCATCAACTTCAAAAAACATTTGTTATCTTTTATTATTGCAAAATATTATCAAATTCAATCAAAGCTGATTAATTTACAGTGAAAACTTTCAATAATCTCTATGCGCGTCATTAAAACGGACCAAGGAGTTGCGTTGCAATTTCGCGGCCACACCTGCGCATTAATTTTTAATCTTGTGCTCATTTGCTTGGCAAACAGAAAATAAACGCGGCACGTATCACTCAAAAGTAATCACTCCCTGCGCCAGCAAAATTGCGCGACGTGATCCGTTTTTCAGGTCCATTGTCTCGATCCCAACCCATGGCTCTTAACTTGTTAAATAAATTGTCCGCTGTATGAGAAAGGAGGCCAAACGCGAGATAATGTTATATTAACAATTCAGGGCATCAACGATAAAAATAATAATCAACGAAGATTATACTAATAAATAAATTTTATAACATTCAACTTCGCTTTTTTTTTAATCAATTTGTTTTATTATGGAAATAATCAGAATGGAAAATGTCAAGTTCTTTCATTAAGTTGTTATAAGAATAGGTTAGATCGATTAATGTAAATTACTCGTTATCATTTTCTAAAGCTTTGTTGATAAATTATTTACATTTCCACAAAAGGGCGTTATAGAATAAAGTTTGTAAGTCTGTCATTGGATAGTGAAGAAAACCACAAATATGAAGGAAACGATTCCCTGGTAATCTATCTTGATGTCAAATTATCAAAGTTAAGATTTTCGCCATTATGAGACCACATCGCTAATGGCCTGTCCACGACTTCTCATATCCTGCAAATGAAGCGACTTCCTTAAACTGATATGATTGTCAAAAAATATTTTTGGGGGGATGAAAATCCAAGCGCAGCGTTCTTTTCAAACAGTCACAAACATGCAGCTGAGCTACTATATCATCGGAGTTATTTTTTCGTGTTCCTTGGTTGTTGTGGCCATTGTATTTGGCAACACAATGACTCTTCTAGCTATAGTAAGAACACCTAGGTTGAATACAGTTCATAATCAATTTATCGCGGGTCTTGCTGTCGCTGATTTATTGGTATGTGTATTACTAAAATTATACTTTAATTTAATAAATATCGCTAAACGTTTCATTTTTTTAGACTGCAGTCGCTTTGATTTATAATGTTTTTATGACATTCTTTGGAAGGCACATGACGGATTGGAATCGTTCGTATGGCGAATTTCTAATTGATTGCGTCTCACCTTTAATGCCAGTCGTTATATCGTCGATTGCTTCAAATCTTCACCTGGCTTGTATTTTCATGGATTGCTTTTTAGCCGTGACCCATCCTTTCTTCCATCGTCGATTCATGACTAAAAGGTTGTTCACTTTTATTTATATTCATTTTAAATAACTCAACATTTATTTTTTAACCAAACAGGAAAGCTCGAATTACCATTTATTCAATTTATGCGTATGCTGCATTCACGGCGTGTTTTATGATGTTTGTAAACAATTGGGACCTTTGGAAGGATTACGACGATAAATATTTTTCATGCGTGAGTAAATCAATTTTAAAAATTTTTAATTAAAACATTCCGCTTTGCAAGTTGTTTAAAAAAGATTTCATTTTTTAGGAACCCTTTGCAATGCCCTTCAACTACTTCATTTGCGCATTATTATTACCTTTCATAATGATACTGGTAATGTTGGTGCTAGGCTACGGAAGAGTACTCTTTGTAGCCTTGTCTAGATTTCCTGATAGTTATAAACCAATAAAGGTAAGAACATTTCCATTTTTCTAATTTGATTTTTTTCAAAGTTTTAATTTAAAATATTTCAGACAGTCATGACGATAATGAGTTGCTATTGCATTTGCTGGATTCCACTGGTGATTCGCATGTTTCTCGAGTTAAATAGTTTCCGTGAGCAAGAACACTCGTTACCAAACTATTATTTCCAAACGTACTCTTTCCTACTCATGTGCTCGCAATCGTTCTTGAACCCAATAATTTATGCTTACCAATCTACGGAATTTCGTGAAGCCTTCAAAATGATACTTTGTTGGCGTCAAGAATTTAGTGTCCCACATCCTCAGAAAATCAATGTTTTAACTCCAGTGGCAACAGTTTCAACCAACATTTGTTAATAGAACTTTTTTTCAATAAATTTTTGTACAGTATGAATAAAAAAAATTGAATGCAATAAGAAGATTGGAATTTTTAATTTTAAATCTAGACATACGACATAATATATATTTTTATTTTCTGCAAAACCGCCCAAAATGATTTCTGCATGTACAATATATTGTAATGTGCTGATCATTCTGCGGAATTTATAATAAAAAACTTTCCATTGTCTGAACGATCATTTTAAACATAAATGCCTTGCCTTGTTTACACCATTTTGTGTCTTTTCAACAAAAAGTAATTAAAAAATTTGATTTAATTGACGCTTTATTTAAAAAATAAGGTCAAGTAGTCCTATATCTTTCAAAAACTTTCAAAAACATCAACTACTTGAAATTTACAATTTGCCGATTGACGCCAATTTCGAAAGTTAGGTCTGCGCAGACCTGGACAAAATTTAGGTGTGCAAGGATAAAAAATCTCAAAATTTAGAGATATTTTAGTCTTCTTTACTAAGCTATGAAAAGTTAAGCATGATTATAATATCAATTCCATTATAAAATTATCAAGGTGTCATATATCTTATCAAATTTATAATCAGCAGATTTTTCATAGTCTGAAGAGTTGACGAGGCCTCTCTTCAGTCAAATTTCTACGCCGCTAAAATGTGCACCAAAATCTTTCTTGCTCTTGCTGCTGTTTTCTGTGTTCTGCGTGTAAGACTTTATTTAACACAATCTTATTTTTTTTAAATTTCCTCTTTTGATAATTAGGCGGGCAATGCTTACTCCATTAACCATGAAACAGGTATAATAATGATTTAAACTTTAAATAATAAATTAATTTTCTGATTTTCATGACATTTATTATAGAGAAAGTAGTTTCTGGGCAATACATAACTGTGAATGGAAGGGAACTTTTCGTTGGAACCGACTGGGTAAAATAAAAAAAGTTTGAGAGAAAAATATTTAGTAAAAATATTTAATGAATGTAGATATTTGCTCCAGACGCCCAGGAGCAGTGCAGATCAATCCAAAAGAACCTTATTTCCTTTGAAACAGCTGCCGAGTATACGACTTTGATGGACTATTTGCGCGCAAATAGTGCGAAAAATAATAAGCTTTTTAATAATGCAATAATTAAACAAAAAATTCAGATTACAACTACCAAGTCTTCTGGACCTCGGGCGTGAGGAACGCAGGAGAGTCGCAGTTTTACTGGAATGCAACCCAGACTGCCTTCACTGACACTTTCTGGGCCTACCTGCAGCCTAACAATGCGTTGAGCACACAGGCGTGCGTGCAATTCACTGTGGAGCCAGATACCCTTGCCCTTTGGTATGACACTCCATGCGATGAGTACATCACGTTTATTTGCGAATAATTTTTAAATGCAAAATATTTAAAGAAAATTACGATTTTCATCTGACTTATTGTTTTTAAATTTCATTCTGAAAATAAACAAAAATATTAGAAATCTAAATTTTTGGTGCATTTGATTTCAACGCAAATTTATTTCAGCAAGTACAATAATCATTCTATAATTATATCAAAGGGGAAATTGTCCAAGAAATATTCCACTTTACTGTTGTTTTTAATCTGAACAGCAAAAAGAAAATCGCAATATGATATACAGTCATATAATAGTTAAAATATATGAATAAAGACATTCCGAGGCCAAATTTCTTGTACCATCATTATTCAAAATTTCTACTGAAAATGATAATTCAAATAATTTTTTGGTTATACTGAGCACCTGTGCATTCAGGTATAGGCAAATTGTAGCTCAAAAAATTAAAATATTAATTATTTTAACGAGATCATCTTGAAAACTGAATAATTACAGCCGTAAAACGAACTCAAAATATTCAATACCATCCAAGTCAAGGTTAAAGATTACGCCATTGAAGCTCTTTCAAATGAAATGACTGCAATTTCATTTATTTGAAGCGTTTTTACAGCCTCATAGTCTGACAGATCTTCCTTCCCCACAGTCGCATAAATCGCCTTTGAAGCATTAAAAATATGACAAAAGCCATAATTCCCTTCTCAAAGAAACCCATCACACCGCCGCGACCTTCAGAGGTTTTCTCATCCTTGGTGTTCCAGCATAAAAAACGGAAAAATGAAATGCAGCACCCAGCAGGCCATTATCGAAGGCGAAACCGTCACAAATCAGAGGCGAGGAAAGAAAGAATAAAGCACCTCCAACACCCTTTGAATACATAATACCCTGGCCGACGGACGGAGGTGCGCGGCGTAGGAGGCAGACCGGCGGTGTGACTCACTGGAGAAAAGGGATTTCGAGCGGTGCTGCCTCCTGCCTGCCTCTCAGGTCGCGCAGACGGCCACTGACGTCACCGTCAGGTTTTTAGTTCGCATCTCAGGTCGAGGGGAGGCGCTGCTCAGGTACGAGAAGCAGATTCCGGCGTGCGGCTCCGGCAAGTCAGTCTAGTGCCAGACTTTCACAGAGGACCCCGTCGCAAAAGCCTTGCAAGGCAGGGGAGGAAGACCTGCAGAGCTGTGGCACCTGGCAGCCATGGCCACGGGTGAGTGCAAACCCTTTTTATCACAATTTTATTTCTAAGAGTGGAATGGAGATTTGCGTAAAAAAATTTGCGAAAAAATTACAAGATCTTGTGCGTGCGTGTGCTTGTGGTGTCAACTCGGCCGAGCGTCGCCAAACCGCTCTCTGGATTATTAAATTACATGCATTGGAGGTGAAACGTGCTTTGTGTTACCCGAGGAGCAGAAAATACAAAGGTGCTCCCGAAAAATTAAAAATTAGCTATCAATAATAATTTTTATAGAATTAAAATAGCAATATATTATTATTTCCATAGGAAAACCATTTAATGTATTTACATTTAAAACCATTGGTACTTTAATGCTAATTGCATCGTTTAGTATTAATTTTTAATTGATCTTTTATGCGTAAGTAATTATCACACTGACGCAAATTATTTCTAAGCATAAACCTATTTAATAGTGTTGTTCGCACCATCCTTGAAAATCGACGCCTATACGAGAATATGAAAAGAGCAAAGCACCTCTCTTGATAGTAATTAGACAATCAGGCCCGATTTGCCTACGCACTTTTCTCACACTACGGCGCGTAATTGCACAAAGAGGCGTTTATGGTGTAATGTTTGTGCATATCCTTGAGCGGCCGCCCACGCGCTTGAGCTAAATTAAGTGCTTTTCACTGTTAATTATTTTTCAAAAGGTATGGCGTTGAAATTTGGCGCAAAGTTTTTTTTATCCAGCGAAAACAACCGAACGTCCTGTGATTTTTTTTGCCTTTGTTGAATCTATTAAGAGCAGCTAAGAGGAAGACGAAAGAAATCTAACACAGTTAGCAAGCGGCTCTCGACGGTGCACTTTCTCTGGCTAAAATGTAGGCGGCCGGTTGAGAGAAGGAAGGGATCTGTGCGTTGCTGCTTAATGAGAAATCCGTCCACATATGGTTTAAAAACAGACCAAAAGGGCCTCAACGGGACCATTTTTACGCCCAAAAGGGTGACTGGCGCGTCCGGCATCGCGAAAATTAGGCAGACGGCGAAAAAATCCGGTTCTCCAGACGCTAATCTCGAAGCTTTTCGGTATATATTTTGTGATGAGCTCATCTTCTGCAAGTCTGATGATGCTCCTTTCAGGGGAATTATTTATTTCCTTTTGTATTTTATGAACGACCTTCACTTTTTTCCCTTTCTCACATTCAATCAACACACCGGCCATCGGCGCGTCATGATCCTCCTCACAAAAAGTTGCCGAACCCCACGGGCAGCTAGACTCGCCAGACATAATATCGCGCTTTTCGGGTTTTATGGCCAAACTCACGTTCACAGCACGCGAACGCTGCATCGCATTACGAAAAAAAAACAGCAGCTGTAGGGAATTGCCGTAGAAAATTGTTGCAATTTATTATTTTTATTGTGAATTCCCTTGCGAAATATTGAGAACGAGTCAGGTGCTAGGAGAGCAGCAATTTTTGCTTAGTGATGCATGAAACTGCACGGAATTCTTATATGATACACCTTTTGTATGGCTGATCCAATTTATAAATTTGCTAGATTTTATTATCTGCCCAAGGTCGAGTATATTTTAAATTTCATATAACATTTAATAAGAAGAAGATCACGACTTAATTATGAACATTTTAATTAAAAAGAGTTGATTTGCCAATTTAAATTACGTAATGAAAGTGGCTCTCTGGTATTTTTTAGTTATGTAAGGGGCAGGATAAATTTTCATGCAAGAAATGTTGAGAGGTCTTGACCGCAACTGAAAACGAAACGTGTCATCTTGAAGCATTCATGACTCACCGCGCGAAACGTCCGAACATAAATTCAAATCGACGCCAAACTGAGCAAACCGAAGAAGAGGTGTCGGTTTAACGGAAGGATGCACCCGCACAATAAGGAAGTGTGCACGCTCACCTGAATCGTTAATTAAAAGGGCACCACGGAACGGCGTCGACGCGCGGGCGGATCAGAGTTTTAAGTTGTAAAAAATAAAGTAGGGAGGAAGTGACGCCGTGTCTTTTTCTCTCCTTGACGTTAGGTGATATAAAAATCCGGGGATAATAAAATTTCTCGGTGCGTCTGGCATGTAGGTTAGGCGCAGCAGCCGCTCGAATTTCGGTCTATGCTCTTTTTCGGGCTTCTTTTATATAACAAAGTGTGTGGGAACGTGTGAGGCAAGAGAGGCTGCATAGTTATAAATTTGGGCAATTTGTAGTTGTTTCGTCGCGCTGCTGCTGTTTAATGGCGGTGCAACTTTAGGCTAGGAAAAATACGCGACCTTGCAATTATACGCTTGCGAGGATGCTGAATTTTTAAAGTATGATATAAAAAAGCCTTATAAAAATGTCACCCGTCAAAATGACTTTTCCCAAGGCGAATATTTGATGGATTATTCCGACTGCATTGGTGCAATTTTAGCAGTGGGATAAAAAGTGAAAAGGATTTGATTTGATCGAAGGACTTACGTAGCCGCAAAAAATGTGAATGATGTCATTTATCCTCCCGCTGAGAGAGCACCGAAGCATCTCTCTCGAAAAGCGCACATTGTTCTCAAGGGTTTTCTGCTTGAAATTAATTCTTATACTTTGTGAGGCAATATACGCTTTTCAAATGACGATATGGACACAACTGCCAGCAATTACGTAATCCATATACCTGAATCATTGAATACAAAAACTTGGTAATTCATCATCTTGAAATCCTACGGGGAAAGTACAATTTTATTTTATTTTTAATTGAACATTCATTTGCACTTGAAGATATTTAAAATTTGTTACTCTCACATTTTTTTTTTAATTTTTAAATATTAATTATCCGGCTAAAAAAAACTCAATTGGCCATTAACACCCTGATTAGAGCGAGAAGTGGGTCGGAATTGTCAAAATAATCAAGAGGGACCTGCCGAAAATGTGTTGGTGTCACGACTTTAACATATAAAATCTTTCTTTCCTCGTTACCGAGTGACGTTTTTCGCCGAGATTGCGAGAGATGTAAAGTGGGAGTCGCACGAGCGAACCACACCCTGCATGCCTTATACGAGAGAGTTATATGCATTTACCAGCATCTCTCTCTATGTATAACTGTATATTCATCGAACTGCATGCAATCATCGCAATACAAATATAAAACGACAAAATAAATTTATATCTCGCAGCGCTTAACAATTACGCAGCTGATTCAAATTATACACAGTTACATTCTGCGGTGCTGAAAACCTCTGGAGCAATCTAAAAAAATCAAAAACTGGGTGTAATTTTCGATTGTAAACCGGCTGGGAGTGTTGAAAATAAAAGTGAGAAACACCTGAGGGTCTTGTAAATTTCCATCGGAAATTTTCCGCTTGATATTTTACTGCTCAGCTGCGCCTGCCTGCCATTTGATGTAAATTTTCTCATTGTTTGGCCGCTTTATCTCTTCACCGTCTGCCGTCTGCACATGATATAATTTTCAAGGATCTAGGGATAAAACAGGAAATCCTGACCTCACGTAACAGACAAACCTTTCCACATCCCCTCACTCTTGTTTTAATTTACCGCGCGAGGCAGCGTGAAGTCAAGCGGCTGTGCAGGCGGCCCGTGTGTTATTAGTAAAAAATTGGGTCCGCTGCATGGATGCATGTATAATAGAATTATAGGAGAGCCCCATGCGGGGTTGTCGTGTTTTCAAATTATCGCCCGTGTACTATCAACTGCGAGAGAGAGAACAACCCTTTCTTATTTAAATACCGGTCGGGAGGGGCACGAAAGGAATTTTTACTTCAAAGGAGAAGCATAGATGTTACGATTTTACTTTGAGCTTGGAAATAAATCAAAAGGAAATTATTTTTTGTAGATTTTGTGATTGTTGATATTTTTAAATAATTGTTAATTTGCAGGAAATTTACAAAAATATTTTCAAATATTCAAGAATTTAAATATTTTTTTCCTTGTTTTAAGATTATTTTATAAATAAATATATTTAAATTTTATAGTTTCTTAATTCAAGGCTGTTTGAAAATTTCAGTTTATTTCATAGTTGAAATTTTTTCACACCTCTCTTGATGATATCATACTTTATAGGTGCAAATTCAAAATTGATGGGCACTTTCTGCACTCTGAAATATGCAAATAACCGAAAGTCAATTGTCGAGGCCTCTGCATTATAATTAAAAACAAATAGGCCGCACTAGTGGAGGGATGACATCATCGGCAGCAGCTTCCATTATATTCGAAACATAAATAAATCGACTCCGAGCACGATTCGAAGCCGCAAGAGCTGGTCAATGCTGACTGGAGATGAGACGGTCGAAGCAACACCATTAGCACTCGTTCAGCCGCCGAGGCCACGAAGTGACCTTTGCTGAAAAAATAAAAACTTCCCTCCTACGTAATATAGACACATTTTAGAGGCGAATCTTTTTTTTCAAGAAGCGCAAACACATCCTGCCATTGTGCGAATTCGCATGCAAATATATGCGCAACAGTCTCCGCGAGGGGAGCGAGAATTGCGCGATTTTATCGCTTGGCTAAATTGAATGCTTTGCGGAGTAAAAAGCTCAACTATTGTTGTTGGCAGCGGCGTCTTTGTGATTCAAGCAAGTGTTTATTTATACAACACAATTATGTTTACAATTGGATCAAGGTGGACAATTACGTAGTCAATTCAATTAAGAATCGAAACCGTTGCACTTTCAAGAATTTTATTTCATTACCTTCCGCCGCATGACAAATTTTTTTCGTCAAGCGTACGATTAATTAATTACAGCTTTGGCATAAAATGAAATTTAAATCAATCAAACTCACGCTTTACTAAATCAAGATAATTTTTCCTGCAAGTTGATAAATCTCGTTCAATTATTTAGAATTTTCCACCCGTTACAAGATTGAGATAATTTTTCAATTTATATATTATCTCAAGAGGCAGCACATTTCAGTGTCCGTCAGCACTTCAGCTAAACGATCGTTGCTCATGACTTATCTCAGTGAATATTTATTAGGTGGAGTTTAAAATGCAATTGTACCTGCTGTATAATTGCGCTCCCTCAG